GCAGGTTAAACTTAGAATTTACACTATTATATTTCCTCTCAAGTCAGATTGCCTAAGAGGTAACCAATGATATTCATTGTCCAATTAAATCATTAAAAAGCAGATGTCTCTAGTTTTGTGTTCATGTTGATTTTGGCTTCATCTATTAAATAGAACTTATATAGTGTTTTGTTCTACGAGTTAAAATTAGGGGGTGCAATTTGGGTCAGGTTGGGTTGGGAATATGTAATTGAAATTCTTCAAATTGGGCAACCCAACTTGCGACCCTGTTCGGCCGTTTTTACAGCAAAAACAAAAAGAATTGCAACCCTGTTCAATATATGGTACATTTGGCAAGATAGTGTTTGGCATAGTTGCTTTCTTTCCATTGCATATTGACTATGTTTCTACCATAAGGCCATTTGGTAAAGGCAATGATGTTGTGGTGTTTGGTGTCTTTTTTCTTGTTTTTAAAAAGACTTTGTTGCAATTAAGATCTGACAACTCAGGAAAAAAGTATTCTGCTTTTTTACTTCCAATGCAGCATGATAGAAGGGGCCATTGTTTTAATTAGGGGTGAGCAAAAAAACCGATCGAAAATGAATTGAAAAATCAGTTAATCGAACAGTTGGTTCGGTTTCAGTTTGATATTCTTAAAAAACTGATAGTTTCTGTTAGCCATTTAATAAAATCGGTGGTTAACCAAACAAACTGGTATATATAAAGTAATCTATATTTATATAATATTTATATATATTATATATTATTATTTTTTATTTTTATTTTTTGAAAATCAGAAATACACTTTTGGTAGTAAACTTTTCAGACTTTCTCTTTGAAAGTTTCAAAAAGAGCTTTGAAAATAAAAAATGGAAAGTTTCAAAGAGAAACTTTAAAAGTTTCAAGGAGAAAGAGAAATTTTCGGCCTTGCTAGAGTGCCAAACTGAAGACTGTCAATCTCTTAGTCTTGAAAATCGAGAAGTTTCAAGCTTTAGCCCTTTCTTCTCTTTTGTCTCGATGGTTTTCTTTCCACCAGCAGTTTCTTCGAATCACACTCTCAGTCCCTCACAATATCACTCTCAGTTTCTTCCCCAACAGACCAACGGCCTCCAGTGCTCTACCCTCCGACTGAATCACCGACAGTTGGCGTCTCCTCTTAGATTCAGCCTTCACTCTCTTGGACTGGTATCTGGCGTCTTCTCTCGAATATGAAATCTCAATCTCTCATCTCTCAGTCTCTCTCTCTCATTCAACACTCACTCGACACTCAGACTCACTGATCTCTCTCAATCTCTTCTCTCTCAGTCTCTTCTCTCTCAATCTCAGTCACTCATCTCTCTCACTCTCAGTTCACAGTTTGTTCGCTCTCTTCAGACCATCGACAAGGAAGGTTCCCCCCATTTTTATAATATTCAGGGCATAAAAAACTGAAAAACTGAACCATAATTAACCGGTTGCATCGATTTGGTTTCGATAAATTGAAAAATCGAACAGTTTGATTTGGTCTAGAAAATAACCCCACGATTCGGTTAACCGAACCGTGAGCACCCCTAGTTTCAATCATCCTTTCACATGTTGTTACATTTTCTATTGTACATGAATGAATGGACCTTACACCCAAGGTTCAAAGTATCAATACTTATCGTGGCATAACATATTAACATGTGTATTGATTTTCAAGCTCATCATAAATTAATAAATTCTTTTGGGTACTTCAATTGTTTTATATGTTAAATACTGATCAAACCAAAATAAATAAATAATATATTAACTGACAAAAATTCTTGATAAACTAATTTTTTCATATTGAGAGTATTCATATTTTGAATCTTTGTTTCATTAAAAACGTGTTTTTAGGGTCTGTTTGGTTCATAATCAGAATTGGAATTAAAATAAGCTGGATTGGGATTTCATTCCCAAGGGAGGGGGCATTCCTTCAAATGAGGGAATGTCATTCCAGTAGGAATGGGAATAGGATTCCAATTCTACCCAACCATACAGTTAAGAATCGGAATGGGCCCTTAGTTTTTATTCCAATTCTAGACCCCTATTCTCATGAACCAAATGGGCCCTAGTTTTTACTTCTTTTTTTGTGTGTGTGTGAAAATGCTGATGCAGCAAGTTCTTTAGACTCAGTTTGGAAAGAGTATAAATACAAATATATACAAAATACAAGGTTTTGACTCGACACATTTGTATTTTTCCAAACTGAACCGTAGGTTGTGTTTGGTTGCAGTGCAATTTTATTTGCACTAGTACAAATGATAAAAATGCAAATTCTCATTTAATTTTGTTTTGGATTTTACTTTATTTTGATTCATGTGTTATTTACTTTATTTATACTGCAATAAAATAAAATAAGCTAAAATTTGAAACAAAAATAAGTGAGAATTTACACTCAAATCTTTTGTACTGCCATAGTTTTGCATTAGTGCAAATTTATTTGCATCACAACCAAACACAGCCTTAAGCATAAGAGAAAGTGCAAGTCATGCCGTGTTGGATCGGGTTGACTAGCCTATCTAAGATCTTTCAAACTTGACTAACCCAACCAGGCCTCCTCATCAAACCCAAGCTCAGCCTGATTTAACAAGCCAGGAGGGAAGAACAGTCCAGTAAATGGTTTTCCTATCATATACTTTCATAATTTGAACAATGGCATGTTTAGCCCTATTAAGGGATCTATTAACATGAACAGAAGTTACAGAAGAGAAATTGGCTGATAAAGGTCCAGATTTGATACAAAATATAGTTAAAATCCCTGGAGATAGAAGATATATAATCTATTGATTGCATTTGTGGGTAACATGGAATCAGATTCATAGTCATATTCAATATGTATATGATCCTAATTCCACTACTCTTTAGGTTGCATTTGGTTTGAAAGAAAAAGGTAGGGAAACCATTCAAACCTTGTAGACAAGTTCCAAAACTTTTACAATCATGATAATAATGTAAAATGACTAGAGACAAGTTTGGTAAGAGTCAAAGATGGTTCTTATGCCCCAAGGAGAAGAGAACCAAACACTTCTAGCATAAAAACATTGGTATAAAACATGCAAAAGATTCTCCTTCTGACTACCACAAAATAGAACACAAATAGAGAAAGCAATAAAACCTCTAGACAATAAAACGTTAGAGGTTCCAACTTCCAACCCATTTATCTTTCTGGCACCTTCAATTTCCAAACTTGTTTTTTTTTGATAGAAAAGGTAGAATTATCCAAAGATAAGCCCTATGAACCCATTTGTCTTTTCTAGCACCTTCAAGTTCCAACACATTATTATTATTATTATTATTATTATTATTATTATTATTATTATTATTATATTTTATACTTATTTTATATTATTTTTAATAATGTTATATGATATTTTTATATATTTTTCATTTTTATTATTGTTTTATTAATATCTTTTATTTTTTTACATTTTTATTATATTTATAATATTTTTTACTATTTTATCTTTTTAATTTTATTTTATTCTGTGATATTATTTATTAACCTTTTTATTATTTTTAATATTTTATTGTATCAATTCACAATATTTTATCTTTTCTATTATTTTATAATATTCTCAATAAAATGCACAAATTTCAAATGTCACAACATTTGGATTATCAAACAACTCTATTATATTCAGATGTCTGTAAAAGCAGAAAAGTACTTTTTCATTAAATACTTTTAAAACTCTTTTAAAAGACCTTTTATGTTTTAGATTTCAGACTTCAGATTATCAAACGCCACCTTAGACCTGGTCCGAAACTCCAAATTACTTTATTTCCTAAATCCTCATTAAAATATGAACTTTCATGCAGAAGTTTTCTTCTATCCTAACAACCATCCAGCATCCACTTCAGAGTTCAGAAATCAAACAATTGATAGTCAGAGCCATTTGATTTAGAAAATTCAGAATTATTGGTTTGTTTTTTTTTTTTTTTGGGTAGGCAAATTCAGAGCTGGCTTTAGGTTGGTTCAGGTGATCAGGTCCAACCCAACCTAACCCGCCCAGGTTGCACAACCCTAATTATTAATTTATTACACACATGGACATGGGAGTGTTGTTCAAAATTCAAAAAAGATAATATAATTATAAACTGAGAAATCTCATGCAAATGGCAGTCTTTAAACCATCCACGAATTCACCATGTCAGCTTTCTAACATGGCTCGTGCCACGAGAACACTTTTTGAGTGATTAACAATGATAATGACCAAAATTGCCACGTGGCTAAAAGGTAATCAATAATAATTGCCACGTGTTTCTCTGCGTTCTCCAGGTAAGCAATATGAACCACCCATGACCCAACTACAAAACAAAACTTTTCGTGTACCATCCAAGGGGGCTATAGGCCTTTGCCTGTGAAAATCAGGTTCTGATCCTGTTTGCAGACCCATTTCCAGGTACATCCAGATCCAGCTCTAGATATGGCCCACTATTCAAGCAATCAAGAACTTTTTTTTTAAAGCGCAACCCGGAAACCTTGATGAGTGGGTCAATACACTATAATCGGGTCGGATCAAGCCACATGCAAAATAATGAGATTATGTAAATGTTAGATTCGACACCGAATGAAACTCGACATATTGGATTCAGGACAGATTTTGATTTAATCGAGTCCACTAAAAATTTTAAAATATTATAATAATATTCAATTGGATTTTAATTTGATTAATGGGTTAAATCCACATCTGTTCTAATTATTAATCGGATGCAATTTCTAACATCAACATTCGGATCAGGTATGTCGAATCCGGTTTTGGACTTTTCCGAGTTTATAGCCTTCTAAATCGTAAGGCAAATAAATGTTTTTTTTTTTTTTTTATTTGTTAATTTATATAAAATAATTGTAATAAATAAATAATTTCCGAAATAATTTTCTTTTAATTTATGACTTTATAAGTTATTTAAGAGTTCCACCCCCCAAAAAAAAGTTATTTAAGAGAAACGCCGAAAGAACTAATCGTTTTCTGGTGTTTCCTGTAATTATTTTCAAGGAAATAATTCGTTTTCATTTTTACGTGAAAACAGACACGGCAAAGTAACAAAGAGAAGGAAAATGAAGGAAGAGAACACGGAATAAGGGGAGAGAGAGAGAGAGAGATTCAAAAGGGCAGCGCAGGCATTCCTCCACCACCACCGTCACCTTGGTGCCACCCCCGGAAGCCCCAGAGGACGAGGACTTACACCCACAATAGCCCTTTAACAGCCGTCGATCGATTCTCTCCTCCCTCTTTGATCTTCACATTCCCATTGTATCTTCTATTCTTTCCACCTTCATCTCAATCACATCACCTGAGATCGACTGTGGCTGCACAAATCCTCAACCCTGTTTCGTCCTAATTCGCTGCGAACAACAAAAACCTCTGCTTTTGGATCCTCTCTTTCCAGCTCAATTACGCCCGGATCTGGGGAAACAGGAATAAACTAACAAATCATGGATGAGTTTCCTGGTCTGTTGGCGAGAGATTTTGGGTTCAGACCGCAGGGCAAATCGGCTCCAATGGCGGCATCCAAGGGAACTGGGAGCCTCGGAAGTGGTGGAACCCTAAATTTTGGGATCGGATCGGGGGGTGACATTAGATCCTCCTCATTTACGTCTCGGTCGAAATCCGGATGGAATTCGAATTCCGTTGGTGGGTCTTTCCTTGATGATCATGATGGTCTCTTTAGGCCTTCTGGGAATCAGAAAACCCAAGATTCTGGTGGTTTAGGGGGTTACGATGATGTCTTCGGTGGCCCTCCCAAGTACACCAATCGGTCGGACAGTCGTGGTGGTGCCTCTTCTGCTTCTACGTTTGATTATGATTCAATCTTTCAGGGATCAAAGGATTCTGGTTCAAAGTCTTCATCTTTACCCGTTTTTGATAAGCCTGTGTATGATGATGATATGTTCAACGGGTTACCGGGGACGAAGAGCTCGTCTTCTGTCAAGTATGATGATGTGTTCTCTTCGATGTCGTCGCCTCCTAAGCAGACTGCATTTGATGACTTGCTGGGAAATTTGACTGGAAAGGAGCCAGAATTCAAGAGCTCCAGTGGAAAGAGATCGGGAAAAGTGGAGAAGGATTTGCCTGGTTTTGATGATTTAATACCTGGGTTTGGTGGGAGCAGCCCCTCGAATAACAGGTGTGGTCTGGGTCAATTGACTCAATTTTCAAGTTAACAAATCGATGATCCTTTTAAGATTTATGAATTCTGTTGTTTTTTCCTAGTGAGTGTAGTTTATTGCACGGTTGCACCAATTCTGTTATTGATCCCACTTACAGGATTAGAATTCCATTTGGTTGGTTTGGTATCTTGGGGTGAATGCCCGGTTTGCATTATTATATAAAACGCAGGATTCTGGGGTCACAACACACTGGTTCACAAATTATTCGACTTACCTAGTTCTGAATCCATATTTGAAAACATCAATGTAACTAAGATCCTTGTTGGAATCTGGATCGAGTAATTTCTAATAGAAATATATAGATATATGAGGTTCACCTGAATTTTGTTTTTTTGTTCTTTTGTTTTTTTGTTTTTTTGTTTTTTTTACCTTGTTTGGTCATTTAGAACAAATAAATACTTATTCATGCTGACACTTGAAGTTGAGTGCATGTCTTTAATTTCATTTCATAGTATTGTTTAGAAGCAACTTAATATTGCTGGAATTGAACAATATCACAAAACTATTACTTCAACAGTAATATGATCTCAGGAGTTACACAACCACATAAGTTTTTGTTCTCATCGCTTTTGTTCTTCTCCATGGTCATATTGGTTCATTTATACTCCTTGGGTTACTGGTTATTTTTTCATTCACATCACTGTAAAAGAAAAGATTTTCTCATCAACTGTTTATGACGTCTTACAAGAGAACCATTCTTTTCCTCTTGCTTGTGTGCGGGTTTCTAACCCTTCCCCACCCTTGTCTCTTCCTTTGTCTTTTTGCTCTATTCTTGTTATTTTCCTGTATCTATCCCATGGATAGATGATGATGAATTGAGATCATCTTTGACTGCTGATGTTGTTGAGTGGTTTTTTTTCTATATTGCAAAAGGGGCAATATAATATCATTAAGGCTACAAAAGAAGATTATACATATCGTATGTGGTCTAGTGATATTGTCTTGCTTCTGGTTCTGGTTTGGTGAAAGCTTTGCTTGTAGAGGTTGTTGGAATCCCTCAAGTAGTGATAGAGGTTATTCATCCAAGACAGTGGGAACACCATATAAGTTTTGATGTTGCTAGAATAGGTTTGGAATCCCTCAAGTGGTGATAGAGGTTATTCATCCAAGACAGCAGGAACACCATATAAGTTTTGGTGTTGCTAGAGTAGGTTCGGAATCCCTTTTCCTCCGGTTCTCACCAATCAATGATTTGTGATTCTGATATCTTTAGTGAACAATGGTCGTGTCCTGTTTTTGATCAGTTGATGCCCATGCTAGCTATCTGTTTCAACCCGTTTGGAAGGCTCCTTGGAGATGGTGTCAAATGGAGGATCACCCTGGAGTATTAACGTTTTCATTTTATCAAACACCAAAGGAAATTGTTGCGACTGATGCCAGAGCAGTAAAGGAGGAGTGCTTTGATTTGTCCAGTGTTCTTTGCAACATAGTGATGGGATTTTTTTGGGTGAGCCTCCGATGCATGCTCTATTGGTTTCGTTTATTGGTGGCATGATTTTAGGCACTATTTGAGCTCCTATAATCAATGTTTTTGATGTGGTTATTGGACATTTATGGGAGCTTATCCTTTAGAACATTGACAGTTTGTATCTTTTATGTGGGGTTATGGTTGGATGGGCATTCCAACTACCCTAATGACAGCCTTGTTCAGGATATTTTCTTTTGGATTTGAGGTAGTGAAGTACAGTTTTGTAGGAGAAGGTTTTGGGCTTCCCCTTCATCTACATAAGCTATTTTTTATTCATTTAGTGTTGTTAGATGGTGGGCCTTGGTGCAACGTGGGTTGCTCAATTATGACCTGGGTGATCAGGATTCAAATCTTGGAAAGGAACCTCTCTGTGTATCTGCAAGGGTAAGGCTGCATACATTTGTCCCATCCCAGACCCTAAATTGGCAGGAGCCTCATGCACTGGGCTGCCCTTTTATATATAGCTTGGTGATTCTTTTTTTGGTAACTTGGCATCTCAGGATTTTGTTGAGGAAATTTCATTAAATAGAAAAAGAATACAGAAGAAAGATGATAAGATATCACCCGAGAAGGGACACAACCACTGAAACCAACATTCAGACCTCAAAATCCCCTTAACAATTCAAAATTACAGCACAACTCACAAGCAGAAAGACACAACATACCAGACTGGCTCTTGGGGACTAGCTCATTACCTGTTCGAGGCCAGAGACATTCTGAACACCTTGTCTGTAAATCTAATCTGGATTCCCAGAGAACTAAATACTACAGCTGATGGTTTGGTTAAATTGGGTACCTTAAGGGAAAATCTGTATAGTGAAAGAAGTTTGCCTTTGCAATTTCTTTTTGCTGGTTTTATTGTAGTATGTATATCTCCTCATGTACCTCTCCTTTTTTTTTTTTTAATTACTATCAGTAAACTCTTCTTCTTCAAAAAAAAAAAAAAAAAAAAACAGACTAAAGCAAACACCAAAGGAGAACCCCCAAATGCCCCCATATCCTTAAGAACCCCCAACCTAACACCTGACCATGGACAGACCACTACTTGCAAAAAACGAGCCTCAATCTTCTTCCACAAACACATCCTCCTGGCCTGTATCATCCCCGTACCATACCTCACCTCCTTCCATAGAAACTTCTTTAATCAACTTTTCTGCCCTACTTTCAAACTCCTCAAAGGTCCTAGCAAACTTTTCACCACCCCAGAAAAACAGATTGAGATTTTACCAACTGTGACCTCTCTTTCCACTAATTTCTGAAGAGGCGCACATCCTAAAATGCCGTCCTTTTCTTCATTACTTTGCAACATCAACTTCTTGTCAAATTCAAGACCATCAACACTCACCTTGTTGTCCTGTTGCTCCTTCCTGAATGGAAGTCCGATCTGAACCTGCTTCGTTGTTCCCCTACGATCATTGCCAGATGGCAAATTGCCTGTCGGACTTTTTCTCCTATAAACCCATTTGTAGTTTTTTGTAGGTCATGTCCCCACTAGACGAAGCTTCAACCTAGAAAATATTTTCGTCACATGCACACCATTAGGATTTCTTGAGCCACAGAATTTCTTACTGATGGTCCCATCAAATGACTCATCAATCTTCTCTTTGACCTTGCTTCTTCGACCCAAGTCAACACCCAACCTTCCAATTTTCACCTCTTCAAAACAAAGATAGTCACCAGCATGACTCACATCCTAACAATCCTCACTGCCACCTATGCCTATAGCCCTCTTTTCTCCAGTTTCACCTCCACTCCCACTTCAGCATCGCCATTGAGCAGTAATTCGTTATTTGTGTTCTGAGTGATCACCATGGCACTAATGGATTTTTTGGTACCTAGAGGGAGATAGTTCCTTACTTGGTGTAGGCATTAACTCTTCTTTATAATTTGTGGTTTGCTAAAGAGCTTTACTACATATTCATCAAATGGAAGGAGGCTCAAGTGATGTTTTAGGGGGCTGACAAGAATCAGTTGCTGTTTAGGTCATGCTATTTGAGATCTCAGAGCCTTAGCTAATTTTTTTTTCGATCAGTAACAGAAAGCTTTCATTAAATTATAAAGAAGATTAAAATACAAAGGTGGGGGGAGGTAAACACTCTTACCACCCCCCCATTAATCTTGTTCATAGGCTCAGAGCCTAAGCTAATGCCTAGAACAGTTTGTTGATTTTTGCTGGAGGAGGCAAACCAGTTTGTGTATGAGTCTTCCAATTGGTCATGCCTTTTAAAGAATCCTCTTGGACTATTTTTGTGTTTGAACCTTCTTTTATTTTATGATCTTTTGTATTTTCTGTTTTTTACTTACTAAATTCTTTATCTGTCCAAAAAAAGGATAAAAAGAAAAAGAAAAAAGAAGTAAATAAATTTATTCCCTTTGCCTTTTATGCTTGCTTTGCATCCAACCCCCACTAAAAAAGAACAAGAAAAGAAAAAAACTTCATAGATATGGTACACGTCATCACTTCTTACCACTTATCAAAAAAAAAATCAGTCTTACAAGCAGTATTTTAAAAGGCGTGGGAAGCGTACGCCTGGAGGTCCAGGCGAGGCGCCCCCAAAACGCTCTGAGGCATATGCCAGAGGCACTGAGCCGTTGATACCTCTGGAAAAGAAAGGGAAGGGAAGGGAAGAAAAGATAAGGGGAAGGAAAGTGGCCGGGGGCAAAGCTCCCGGGCCCCCTTGGCTGGGGGGCTTCGCCCCCCAGACCCTCCAGCCCCCCTTCCTCCTTATCCCACTCCTCTTAAGGAGGCTTATGCCTCCTTGTGTTTGGGAGGCTTATGACTCTTACATTTTGAACTACGCCTCATGCCTCTAGGTAGTGGAATGCCTTGCGTCACACCTCCACATTTTAAAACATTTCTTACAAGTAAGTTAGAATTCTATTTAGCATCTATTCATTTTATCACTTGAGGTGCTGCCACTCTTGCTACTTTCTAGATGACTTTCAACCTGCCTTATATCCATTTTTGAAGCTTGCCAGTGAGCCATGTGTTCCAAGAAGCTTCCATGTTTGTGTGTGGTTTTATTGGTTAAATGTTTATCATAGGTCTGGTCTTTTTTCTGTTTGAATATCTTATTATATGGTTGCTCAGATACATTAAAGAGTGAATTGATATTTTAGTCTCAACAGCATCATATTTTCTGTTCAGGGGAACTTCGAAGGCCAGTCAGCGTCAGCAGTCTACTGTTCCTTCAAGTAAATCAACTGCCAGTATGATGGAAGACCCCTTTGTAGTTTTAGAATCAACTTCTACTACAGCTTACTCATCCTCAGACATGTTTACTGATCCATTGGAGCACATGAGTAAGACTAGTAATTCTGGAAGCACAAAGATTGATCCTTCTATTGGCAGGGGAGTATTTGATGATATGGATCCTCTTAATGGGCTGGGGAAATCAGTGCCATCATTTTCATCTGAGATGAATAATGTAGCAAATGATAAAATCCCTATAAAGACAGGATCAAATATGACTGCTAGACATACTTCAGCTGGCAAAGAACCAACTGAAAAGCCTTCAGCAAAGGTTTCCAACAACACCTCCCAAAAGAAGGTTTCTGTCGATAATTATCAGGATTCTCATCAAACCCTATTTGACATGCCTACTGCATCATCAGACTCTCAGAAGCCAAGTTCTCATTCTTCACATGTACATACTAATTCCAATGACAAAAGTCAGGTAGATATGTCTCCACGATCTGAAGAAAATATGGAAGCAGCTGATGATATATGGCTCACTGTCTCTGAGGTTCCTCTTTTCACACAACCAACAAGTGCTCCACCACCCTCAAGGCCCCCTCCTCCTAGACCAGCTCAAGCTTCAAAGACAGATAGAGGTTCATTTACTGCTGTAAATACAAAAAAGAAGGTTAATGAGTCTTATTTCCCAAATTCTGCTCAAAACTTCCAAAGTAATGTCCCTGATTCAGTGAAGAATCAAGGTGTATCTTCAATAGATGAACTTGAAGATTTTGCCATGGGCAGGCCTCGAAGTAATGCTGATGAGAATGTAGATGTTTTTTCCAGTGAAGAAGACATGGAGAGAAATTCAGCTGCAGCTGCTATGAAAGAGGCTGTGGATAGAGCTGAGGCAAAATTTAAACATGCTAGAGAAGTAAGGGAGAGAGGATTTGCAAAGGCTAGAAGTAGAGAAGCTGCACATCTGGAGAAAGATGAAGCATATGAACGCGAACAGAGGGAAAGAGAGGAGAAAGAGCGAGAACTGAGAGATCGTGAACGGGAACAGAAGGAAAGAGAGGAGAAAGAGAGAGAACAAAGGAGACTAGAGAGGGAAAGGGAGAGACAACGGGAGATTGAGAGGGCCGCAGTTCTAAGGGCACAAGCAGAAGCACGTGAAAGGGCAGCAGCAGAAGCAAGGGAAAGAGCAGAAAAGGCAGCTGCTGAAGCTCGCCTAAAAGCTGAAAGGGCTGCTGTTGAAAAGGCTAATCAGGAAGCACGTGGGCGTGCTGAGCGAGCTGCAGTGCAGAGAGCACAAGCTGAAGCACGCGAAAGGGCAGCAGTGGAAGCCAGAGAAAGAGCAGAAAAGGCAGCCATTGCAAGGGCAGAAGCAGAAGCACGAGTTAGAGCAGAACGAGCTGCTGTTGAAAGGGCTTCTGCAGAGGCTCGTGAAAGGGCTGCAGCAGCAGCAGCAGCTGCTGCTGCAAGGGAGAATCAGCAAAAGAATGGAAATGATCTGGAATCCTTTTTCAGTATGAGTGCTCGAGCAAACAGTGCTCCAAGGCCAAGGCCTACCACTTCGGTGAGAAGATGTAGTTGTCACATTACAGTCTTATTCTGAATATTGTTGCAAAGCTGACAGATGATATAATTTACTTACTGTATGTTTTAGGACCCTGTTTTTGATACCCAATTCCAAAACAAGGGAGGGCCAGATGGAACACGAAAGACATCATTTACTTCGTCCAGCATGAGGAAGGCATCTTCCACTACAAATATTGTTGATGATCTTACTTCGATTTTTGGAGGTAATTTTGATATTGATATGTGAATTTCACTTGTAAGATTAAGATTCTTCCTGGACATCGTGAATTTCACTTGTAAGATTTAAGATTCTTCCTAGACATCATGTCTCACTATTATAATTGGTTCAACTATTTTTGCTTGGAACAGGTTCCCCATCATCTGGGGAATTTCAGGAAATTGAAGGTGAAAGTGAGGAAAGACGAAAAGCCAGATGGGAACGCCACCAAAGGACTCAGGAGCGCGCTGTATGGGCTTTTTACCTTTCTAATTTTGGATATTTTGTTACTGTCCTCATAATTGATGGATAGCAAGATACATGTTCTTTACATGCTATAAAAGTATTCATTTCTGACTTTGATCTGTGTCTTTTTTTGAATTGTGATAAGACTGGAGGTTTTAATTATTTAGCTTTTTTGTTCAGGCAAAAGCACTAGCTGAGAAAAATCAGCGTGACCTTCAAACCCAAAGGGAGCAGGCAGAGAGACATGTAAGTCTTGCACATATGAAATTATTGTATGGTATCATGGGGATTAAGTATGATTTGGCTCCGCAAATTTTGAATTGGCTCAAAATCTTTATTCAGTTTTCTGTTATTTCTGAAATTACTCTTATGGTAAATTTATATATTTGTTTTGGATGTTGGCTTTGGGATGATCCTCTTTCTATTATCATTTTTATTGGGTTTAAATTTCTTGGTTTAACAAGTAAGTTGCTTTCTTTGCATTCATTGCCAAATTATTTTATCTTAATTTGTTTCAGAGGATTGCTGAAACACTGGATGTTGAAATAAAGCGTTGGGCTGCAGGGAAGGAGGGCAATTTACGTGCTTTGCTGTCAACATTACAATATGTAAGTTTCTTGTATTCTATATTTACTTCTTTTCTCATTAAATTGGATGCTTGCTAAGTGATTGTGGGAGTGGATTTGTGAATTTCTATTAATGTTCTGTTGTCATTCTTCTTGTTATTTTCTGACAACTCATTGGTTGGGATTTTCTAGAGTCATCCAACATGAAATCATAGTTTTTTTTAGATAAGTTCAACAGGAAACCATAGTACATATCATTGTTTCTCTCTATTGTGTATTGAACACTGAAAAGTTTTATTTGGTGAAGGTTGTGTAAGAAGCAAGCCTGCATTTGTTATAAGCATAATTGGAGGGCCCGTTCCCAGGTCGAACAGTTTGACCGTTCGAATCGAACGGATGGCCCGTTCTGGCAAAAAAATAAAAAATAAAAACGGCCAAACCGTTGGATAGTTCGAATGGTTCGACTGCCCGGGTCAGCGGTTTGCTGACCAAATCAACGGTTTTTGGTGAAATAACGGCTTTGGGGTAAAATCTCCCAGTTTTTCCAGTCCGACCGCCCGGTCCATTCTGGTTTTGAAAACCATGCAGCATATAACTAATACTAGTATATAGTATACTACATCACTCTCCCTCAAGTTGGGGCGTAAAATGTCAATCATCCCCAACTTGTCACAAATTATAATTCTGCAAGGAGTTTAATCCCTTAATATAAACATCTACAAGTTATTCTTCCGAGCTAATGTATGGAGTGCACACTTCTCCTTTCTCAAGTTTCTCCCTAATAAAATGTTTGTCAACTTCAATGTACTTGGTTCTATCATGGAGAACTGTATTGTCTACAATGTTGATAGCAGCTTTATTGTGACAATAGAGTGACATAGGGTCATCAAGGTGAAAACCCAATTGACCTAATAGGTTCTTGATCCACAGTAGCTCAACAGCTTCATGTGACATGGCTCTATATTCTGCTTCTGCACTAGATCTGGCTACCACATTCCGTTTCTTACTTCTCCAAGTAACAAGATTTCCTCCTACAAAGGTACAATCAAGGTTCAAAGTATCGATACGATACACCCCGTATTGGGCATATCGTATCATATCTTTTGGTCTTGATACACCTATTTACAGTTGTTTCGGGACCCTCATTTATTTTAGTAAAAAAACACTTAAAAAGCATCTTCAAAAATCAAATTTTGAACAAGAAAACTAAAAAAAACACATTGAGCGGTGATTTTTTAGTACTGATACACCCCTGTTGATACACAGGCGCATATCAATACTTTGAACCTTGGATACAGTAGCCACTAGTGGATTTCCTGTCATCCAAAGAGCCGATCCAATCAACATCAGTGTAAACCTCAACTTTCATGTGAACATGCTTCTTGAAAAGAAGACCTGTCCCTGGGAATTTCTTTAGATATCTAAGCACCATGTCTGCTGCTTCTAAGTGTACTGCCTTGAGAGCATGCATGAACTGGCTGAGAACTTCCACGGCATATGCAATGTCGGGCCTAGTCATAGATAAATAGAGAAGTCTACCCACAAGTCTTTGGTACTGTTTTGGATCTTTCAAGAGCTCACCATTACAATCCCCAAGTTTGTGATTCACATCTATAGGAATATCAGCTGGTTTGGCTCCAAGTTTTCCTATATTTTTTAGGAGATCTAGGGTGTACTTCCTTTGGGAAATGAAGATACCGTGTTGAGAGCGGGTGGCTTCAATTCCAAGGAAGTAACACAATGGTCCTAGATCCTTCACTTCAAACTATGTAGCCAGAAACTTCTTTAACCTTTGTACCTTTGAGACCCAATCACTAGTGATAACAATGTCATCCACATAAACAGTCAAGGCTGCTGTTCTCCCTTGTTCCTTATTTACAAAGAGAGTGTGATTAGATTGGCACTGCTTAAACCCCATAGTTGCACTGCCTGGGAATCTACTAAGCCAAGCCCTCGGTGACAGTTTTAGGCCATATAAGGATTTCTTCAATTTGCAGACTTTCTGTTCACTGCCCTTGGCACTAAAGCCAGGAGGTTTATACTTCACCCTCTAAATCACCATCAAGAAGGCATTTTTAATGTCTAGTTGATGAAACTCCCAGTCAAGATTTTCTATTGAAGAGAGAAGAACCCAGATAGAATTCATTTTTGCCACTAGAGCAAAAGTCTCAGCATAATCAACCTCATACACCTGTGTAAAACCTTTTGCTACCAACCTAGCCTTGTATCTCTCAATTGTGCCATCTGTCCCCTTGTACCATATTTTCAGCCAAGTAGGGTGAAGAGAGAAGAGAGGAGGAGAAAAGAGAGAAGAAAAGAAAGAAGAGTTGAGAGGGGCCAAAAGTCATGCTGGCGGCACCAGAATTTATTATTTATAGATTAGAGCTATCATACAATATAAAAGAAGAAAGACCAAAGTGCCCCTTGTGGCACATAACTAATATTACATCAGTGTGTATTGTTATTAGAGCATGTGTGTGACCAATAGAGCAATGAAAAAAATTGAAGTACTGGTTTCCAATGCCATGACCTGACATGTTTAATGCCATGCATGGTGTGAAACTGTGAAGGTCCTTTAGGAGATTGACTTGAAGAGCAGGCACCATCAAACCCTGTATTTGAGAAGTGGATGAAAGGAAGTAATTTTTATTTTTTCTCTGTTTCCTTTTTTTTCTTGGCATGGTCTGAAATTGAGGTCCTGATATTGCTGATTTTGTCCTTGGCGGGTTTCTCTTAGCAAGTTTCTGTCATATATTAAATGCATACATGCATATATGTATAATGCCATAATTTACAACAACTATTTATAAACCTTCCAAATAAGCTGAATCAAGGTACATCGCTGGTTTCCTTTTGTTCTTAGTCCTATATTTGGAATATTTTCCTAGTTCTTGTGGACTATCCTGAGTTTTAATCGCTTTACAATTCCATAAGAAGATATAATCATTTGCTTTCATGTTAAAAATAAAAAAGGATCCGTCAAAAAATGTTATAAATAGAAACAGTGATGCAGGACCTTTGTGATTCAGCACCACTCTTGCCACCAAAATTAGGTTAAGGTGTGCAAATCAGAATCAAATGTCAAATGAAAGAAAGAAGAGGAGAAGAGAAGAGATGTAAGTTAAGAACCCTAGGAAATCACACCTAAGAGTGAGGGCAATCACACCCTAAACTTGGCAATAACATCAAATTCTGCAGAGAAGTTTTCTTTGTTCATTGTCCAAAAATTGTTCTCCAAAGGAGCCTTAGTTTTGTTTTTTAAGGTAAAAATTTATTAAAACAAATTAAGAACATGATACAATAGGGCCCAAAAAGGGCATCAACCTGGCTGGACCCAACCCCCACTACAACCAACCACACTCCACACTACAACTCCCAAATAGGAATTGCAATGGGATGGGTTTGGAGTGGGCCACCCCCTCCCCATAGTCAAAATACCCTACCCCTTCCCCATACTTGGTGGTGGGATGGGACATCCCCTCCCTCTCGGGGACAGGGAATCCTCAAATGTTCCCTGCCCCGAGGCAACCGCCTAAAATAAATCAAAATTTGGGGGTATTTTAGAAATAGGATTATGGGAATTTGGGGGTATCTCACAAATGGGATTATAAGATCCTAGGTTTTAGGAATTTGGGGAAAACTCAGGGTTATTTAGAAAAATTAATATTAAACTTAGGGGTATTTTAATAATTTACCATGTGGTTATCAATCAAAAAAAAATTACCATGTGGTTCAGGGTGGATTCAGGGAATTATATGCAAACCCCGGCCCCGATTTGGGGCAAAAATATTTTTCCCATCCTCGCTCGTCGCTCCATTCCTGTTTTAGATGGGGAAAACCCGCCCCATTTGGGGCAGGGCAGGGCCTCGGTTTTATAGGGAAAATTGCCATCCCCACTCCCAAAGACTTTTGGAGCTCAACAAGACATCTAAGTTCTGGTGCTGAAACTCCTTCAGAACTGAAACCCAAGATGCATCCCAACTTTTGAATTTATCAAAAAAAAAAAAAACTGAAACCCAAGACACAAGCTTGCCAAAGGACATGGAAATGAGCTCATCCACTTCCTTGGATATGTTTCTAAACCGTCTTCTATTTCTTTCCGCGCACACAATCCCAAGCACAGCTGCAGGAATAGAAAGAAAACCAGACACACTTTCCCTCTCTTAATCAGGCCTGGAAAAGTCCAGCCCCACAAAATCTCCTTGATTGACCTTGACATAGTCCAGCACACCCCCACAGCTTTAAAGAAGTGCTGCAAGATTTTAGAGACAACAGGACAATGGATGAAAAGATGGTTAGTATCCTCTGTCACCTGCCCCCAAAAGTTACAGCTCAAGTCTTGTATCTGCACCCCTTTCTAACCAAATTATCCTTGGTCAGACACCTATTGAACACTGCAGCTCAAACCAAGGCATTCATTTTTGATGGGGAGGAGGGATTCCAGATCCTTTTAGCTGGGAGGACCACTTTATTACTATCAGACAACTTGAGGGAGAACAATTTTACAGAAAAGAGACTATCAGCACTCCATCTCCACCACCAAACATCTCTTTGGTTGATCTCCGCTGTCCGGCTAGAGAGCAGAAGAAGCAGGTTAGCAAACCTCTCTGCCTCCCAATCTTGGAATCTCCTTCTAAATTTTGGTTTCCAGATCACACTATTCTCTAGGACCTCAAAACAATCAGCAACTGGGGCATCTTGGTTTCCTACAATTTGAAACAGCCGTGGGAAAGCCTCCTCCAGGGGGAGGTTAGCACACCAAGGATCTTTCCTGAAGTTCAGTCTAACTCTATTACCCACTTTAAACTTAATACCTCCACAAAAAGGGGGGGGGGGGGGCGATTCATAAACCTTTCCGAAGTGAACTTCCCAGAGATGGCAAGGAGGTAGTGGTAACCTATTCCCTTGTTCAAAGCATATTTTGCAGCAACTAGACCTCTCCACCAACTCTCTTTTCACCCCAAACCTCCAAAGGAGCCTAACAATCTTAATAAGAAAGAAGCTTCCAAAGGAAGAAACTCACCCCACAAATAGTCTTGTTCATGGGTTGGGTAGCCTGCTGGCCTGGCCCGGTCCAGCCCATTCTATTGGGCTTTGACATTATTTCAGGCCTGTGGGCTTGGGATTGGGCCCAAAACACTAGGCCCAACTTTTTTATGGGCTAGGCTTGGGCTTTCTTAAAAAAGCCCTACCTGAGCCCAATTATATACACACACACATACATTCTTTGTTGCTATCCTCTTTTCTCAAGCCACAGTGAGATTTTTCGATATTTTGGGTTCTAAGGTCATTTAATATAAATAAATAAGTTTTTTATTGGGTAAAAAATAAATAGAAACGTTTTCCTATTTTATAAGTCATGCTTTACGGGTGAGCAAGAAAAATTGAAAAGCCGAACCGAACCAAAAAAAACTGACCAAAATCGAACCAACCGGTTCAGTTTTGGTTTGCTATTTTTAAAAAACTGAAGGTACCGGTTCAGTTTCGGTTAACCAATATAGAAAACTGACGGTTAATTGAACCAACCAGTATACATATATTTCTATATATTTTATGTATATTTATGTATATTATATATTATTTACATATATTATATATTATATATATATATTATTTTGCATTATATATATAAATATATATATTTATAATATATAATATATTATTTATTGTTTAAAATATAATATTTTATATATATTTCTATTTTTTTTATTATATATTTATATATATTTTTTATAATATATATTGTAAATATAAAAAACCGAAAAACCAACGAACCGAACCAGTCAACTGGTTAATCGATCGGTTTTGGTTTGGTTTCGGTTACTGTTTTTCCAGAAACTGATAATACTGGTTTGGTTTCAAATATAGGTCCATGGTTCGGTTAACTGTGAGCACCCCTATGACCTATCGGGCTCGGGCTCAAGATTTAGGATCGATGGGCTGGGATTGGGCCTGAATGTATTCTGTTAATAAAGAGGCAAAGCCCAGCCCAGCCCGTGAACAAGTCTACCCACAAGCCACTTACAAAAGAAGTTAAGTTAGACTAAATCTGCCTTGAAACAACTACAAACATAAAGCCAAATGGAGGAAAATTATCTTTGGGACACTTGTAACAGACTTATGTTTTTGCTGATAATGAATTTTAATGAACTTTTATCTATCAAAAGAAATTATTAGGTTGAGACCTGTCCCCAAACATGCAAAATCACAAAAATACCCATGCTTTCCAGAAATGTATGAAAACCCACCTAGCATCAGTTCAACTACAAAAACAACATATTAAGGTGGATTTAAGATTCTAGGATCTTTGCAAGTTGATCCCACTGCTAACCTAGTTCCCATTGGGCCCCATGTCATCATAATGATGCCAATTAAGCATAGGAGCAGCTTTGGTTCTCTTTTAATACACCTTAAGTTTATCCCCATCTAAAGGGAACCTAGATATACAGCTCTGTCAACTCTAGATGAACTTTCCCAGTTCATCTTTATTCACCCAATCAAAACAAAAAGAAAAGAAATAATAAATGTTGCAAAGTCTAGAACTTGGGAAAATCTGAAAGGAGTTCACTCCTTTGGGAAAAACATTTTGATTTTGAATTTGCATCGTTAGAATGTAAGAAAAGACTGAGAAATTATACTTTGTAATTTTTGGAAACCGTGAAGAAAGAAAACAGTTTCCTCTGTAATTTTTGGATTTCTTTTCAATGCAGATCAATTTTAGTTTTCCTAGATCTGCTTTCCAATTTATACTTGTTGACTGATTTAGAGTAAAAATAGTTTAAAGAGAACTTTCAGAGTTTAAAGAAATTATAATTGCACTTTCATCACTTTTCTTGCAGTCTATAAGAAGAGCTCCAGTTCCTTATGCTCTAGGTTGTCATTCTAACCGGAATTTGAAGGATGGAGTTTTTTTTTTTTTTGGGTTAATTTTACTGTTGGAGCTTGCTCCATGGAATCTTGTCTCCCCTTCTCTCTTCTCATGTTACTTTCTTTCTTCTATTCTTTTTGTATTATCTTGATGTTTTCTCTTTAATACAACAACTATTCTTATTTTTTTATCTTTGACTTTTATTTCAATTTTTATTGCCGAGGACTTTGTTCATCTTTGATATATACATTCTACCCAGTTTATTTCTTTCTATCTCAAATTTCTTTACATTAAATCATAAATTCCCATGTTTGGCTGCATATAAATTAGTCCTATAATTTTCCTAGTACTGTTATGTTCACCTAAAAAGTGGTGTTCTTTGTTGTTACTAAGTTTCTGGGTCAAAAGAGTAAATAATCATTTGTAGATTCATTATTTATTCCACAAGCTGACTCCTTTTGTCCATTGAATGAGCAGGTTCTTTGGCCTGAATGTGGTTGGCAGCCAGTTTCTTTGACTGATTTGATTACGTCTGCCTCAGTTAAAAAGGTGTATAGAAAGGCAACCTTATGTATCCATCCTGATAAGGTGCAACAGAAAGGTGCCAATCTTCAACAAAAATATATAGCAGAGAAAGTGTTTGACCTTCTTAAGGTAGTTTATTAATCTAAGATTTATTAAAGTTTGTAATTTAGTATGCATACCCTGCATTTGTATGTTGTGTATCTTAGAAAATGTGACATACAAAGTGTGCTTTGAGGTATTATTATTATTATTATCAAGTTTAAAATGCTATAGGTATACACACATAAAGTACTTTGGAAGAGGGAGAAAAATAAATAAATAAATATCAATTTAATGTGTTCAAGTTTTTAGTAGCTCAGAATAATAAAAAGAGGTGTTTAGAAATAATCAAGGAAGTGGACTTGGCTGAAGAATCTGGTCCCATAGTGGAAGAAGAAAGAGAAAGAAGAAAGGCAGCGAAATTGACCCTTGAAAACCTAGGTTTTAAAGATTGAACTGAGATGGAGGCAAAGATCCAAAGTCAAATGGCTTAAAGTGGGGGACAAAAACTCTAGTTTTTTTCACAAGATGGCAAATACAAGAAAAAGGTTTAATCAAATTGAGAGACTTGAATTTGAGGGTCAGGTGGGAGTGGATGGGGTTGAAATGAAACGTATTGCAACCAAGTATTTCTTAGACTTATTCAAGGAAAGTTGGGTTAGAAGGCCCCTCCCGGTGGACCTAAGCTTTAAGAGGATTTCAGAGGTTCAGAAAAGGGAGCTGGAAGCCCCCTTCACAGAGGCAGAAATTTGGCAAGTGGTAAAGAATCTGGAAGTGGATAAATTTCCTGGGCCGGATGGTCTCACTAGCCTTTTCTATAAGAAGTGCTGGGAGGTGGTGAAAGTGGATCCGCTAAAAGTTTTTCAAGATTTCCATCAAAATGCTTTTCTGGAAGGAAAGCCTGAATTCTACTTCATCTCCTTAATTCCTAAGGTGGAAGGTGCAACAAACATCAAAGATTTTAGACCCATTAGTTTGCTGAACAGCTTTTATAAAATCATGGCAAAGGTTCTAGCAGAGTTGTTAAAAAAAGTCCTTAGTTCAGTGATAGCAATGAACCAATTTGCTTTTGTGCTGGGTAGACAAATGCTAGACAGTGTTTAGTGGCAAATGAGCTGATAGACTCAAGGAAAAGGGAGGGTAATCCAGGGCTGCTTTGCAAACTGGACCTGGAGAAGGCTTATGACAATGTCAACTGAAAATGTCTGGATTTTGTTCTGGAAAGGATGAATTTCGGCCAGAAATGGAGGAACTGGATCAAAGTGTGTGTTTCTTCCCCAAAATTTGCAGTGCTAGTGGATGGAGAATTGATTGACTTCTTCAAGAGCTCTAGAGGTCTAAGGCAAGGGGATCCCCTATCCCCCCTTCTCTTCATTTGTGTTATGGAGATTTTATCTTTGTTTGTCAACCGAGTAGGGGAAGAGGGATTGTGGAAAGGGTTTGAGTCAATTCTGGGAGGAGAAAAGGTTCAATTGCTTCAGTTTGCTGATGGCACACTTTGTTTTGTTGATGCTGATGTAGATCAATTAGGGGTCTTTCTAGGGATGCTCAGCTGGTTTGAAATTGTGTCGGGTTTGAGAGTAAACTGGTCAAAGAGAAGAGTAATTCCAGATGGGAGGGTAAAGAATCTTGAAGCTCTAGTGGGCTAAGTGCACCTCCTCTTTAGTGTGGGACCCGGTGGTGGAGTGGTTAGAAAGGAAATTGGCATCTTGGAAAGCCAAGTATCTGTCTTTGGGGGGTAGAATTACTCTCCTAAAGAACCCCCTTTCTAACTTACCCTCCTATTTCCTTTATTCCCTATCTCAACAAAAGTGGCTGGGAGGAGAAGAAAACCCATCTGGTCAATTGGGATCGGGTTTGTACTCCAAAAGAAAAAGGAGGTTTGGGGGTGAGGAGACTGAAAACTTTTAAGTTTTAACAGGGCTCTAATGGGGAAATGGATATGGAGATTTGGAAAAGAGACAGTTGGTGGAGGAAACTTTTAGCAGCCAAATATGATACTGACAGAGGGGACTAGTTAACCATTTTAAACCTCCCTTCTCTGGGATGTTCTCTTTGGAAGAAAATTGTGGAATTTTTTCCTCTTCTAAACAATGGCTTGTTCCCTAAACTGGTTCTGGTCTTCGCCTGAAATTCTGGAAAGACAAATGGTGCAACAGCTGGTCTTTAGAAGAGCTGTTCCCTCAGCTGTACCAGCTTGCAGAGGATCAAGATGCAATGGTGGCTGATTGCTGTGAGCTGATAGAAAATTTCTTTTCCCGGACTACCGGAGTCCTTTCAGAAGAGCTTTTCAAGATTGGGAAGTGGATCAGGTGGTGGGCCTGTTTGAACTTCTTTCGAATCAGACCTTAAACTTGTTGGAACTTGGAAGAAGATACTTGGACCTGGCAATGGTCTACAGATGGAATGTTCTCTGTGAACTCTTTTGCCAAAGTATTATCAGGTGGGAATAATGTGAACTTCCCTGTTGATAATGTTCGGAGCTAGATTCCCCTCCTAAAGTAAATGCTCTGCTTTGGGCTGTTGCCTTGGATAGAAACCTCACCAAACAGAACCTGGTCGGAAGGGGAATTCAGATTCAAAACCTGTTATGTGAGCTTTGTGGTCAAGCTAAAGAGGACAACCACCATCTATTTATCCATTTCCTGTTTCAGCAGCTTTATGGGGTCATTTCCTCTCATCTGTGGGCCTATCCTAGGTCATGCCGAGTAAGGTGCTGGATCTGTTATGTAGCTGGTAACTTCAAGGCCTCTTCAAGTTGGCAAAAAGTGTTTGGTTGGCTATTCCTGCAGTAGTGGTCAGTACCATTTGGGCAGAAAGAAACAGACCAGACTAGGGCTCTTGGAGCACATCTGAGGTCTAGAAGTTTGTTTGAATTGTAATTTAGTATTGGGGCCTTGCTCTCTGTAATCTTGCTCTGTTTCTGGAGCCCCTCTGTATTCTTTGCTTCTTTTTTTTTTCAAAAAAAAAAAATACAAATATAAAAAAAATATTGCACAACGTTTGATGAATCTTAACCAACTTGTAGATTGGGTGATATTTGATTGATGCATTTAGAACAGTTTGCCTTCATTATTCATCTTTATTAATTATTATGTTTTTTTTTTTCGAAATGCCAAGGCATAAATTATATGATTTATTATAAACACGTCCAAAGTATTTTTCATTAACAACTAAAAGATATTTCTATTTTTCTCAAAGGTTTCCAGTTATTTATTTAATTTTTTATGGAAAGACGTTTATTTCTTAAACTTTCTCTTTAAATTATATTAGGACCTAAAGTTAAACTGTTCGGATGGTCTGTTGAAAGTTCTGCATTTTTGTGCTATTAATGTGATGTTTAATCTGCAATAATGCAATTATTCTTATCTAATAAAGTTTTATCTGGAATTATTTAGTGGAAATAAATCAATTTATGTTTAATTTCACTCTTCCCATTATTTTATTGCATTTTATATTGATTATTAACTTAAAATTGTTCATTATTCAATGAATCATTTTGATTAGTTAACAAATAAAAATTAATTACTTGTTAAATGTCACAAGTTCGCCTGAATGAATCAAGATTTGCACTAGTGATTTTTAAGTGGCAAAATTGGTGGTTAATTGTTTGATGTTATTACAACAGGAAGCATGGAACAAGTTCAATTCGGAAGAGCTGTTTTAAATTCCTTGACTATTCTTTCATTCCAAGCCACTTCTTTAGACAAATCGCATGAGTTTATTTGGAGAGAAATGTTCAACTTGCATCAGCTGAGATATTACTCTCCCAGTGCGTTTGTCTTGGTGTCGCTGAAGAGTTTCCTTCATAAACTGCCGTGGCGGCCCAAGGATAAAGACCGCTTGTTTGTTATGTTGCTGTAAATTGATGTTGCTCGGGCAATGTATGAGTTTTAATGCTACTGTATTTGAAACTGGAATGGCTGATTGGTGTAGAGTGTTGGCCATGCTGCTTCTCATATACACTTCTATGGCCAATTTTATCAGCCACCCATCTGAGTTGAGTTTCTTCTGTGTTAATTCTTTCTGTGAGCTGAATGAATGCCAATATTTTATTGGTGCCTTGCGATATCAAAACTGAATTTCAATTATGTTTCTTGAGTTGAAAATTCAAGTGCTATACAAACTTTTCATTTATTTGTTTTTTAGGTCTTGCTTGTTCTAATCTCATTTGGTCACTTGATGTTGAGCTGTATCTACAAAACAGTTTTTCATGATTTGAAGCTTTAGGCTGCGTTTGGAAATGATGCAAATAAGTGTGAATGCAAACATGTAGAGTGTAAAAGGGTCCATATAAATTGCAAAGTTGGGTTAGTTTTGCACTGACATATTTAACTTCTTACCAAACAGATTTTTAGATGTAATAGATGTAAACACGAATTCCAATAAAGCATGTCTTTTTCTATCAAAAGCTCACTTGAATGCAAATTTACTTTTTTTTCATTGATGTACTTTTACATCTTATTATCAATGTAAATATGCATTAGAAAATGTGTTTTCTATTATTTGTCAATGCATAAATGTAATATTGCCAAACACAGGTAAAAGTGAATGAGAATGCAAATTTACCCTGAATCGGGATTTACACTCCATTTGCATCGTTTCCAAATGCAGCCTTAGGTGCATTTGGTATGACATAAATGCCAAATCAAAGTAAATTTGCATTCCAATTCAATTTTGTAGGCATTTGCTAAGAATACATTTGTCTACAAAAAAAAGTTTTTATACTTGAAAATGATAATAAATTTGTTTTGTCTGATTTTTTTGCATTTAAAATGGGAGCAAAGCTCGCTTCCAAATATTGGAAGGAATTTTTTTGCACTCAAAGTATAAGGTGGGTAGGTTCTAGTCTTGAAATTTATGTATTGATACAAAAAAAGAAAGTCTTTATATCCATCACAACTAAACGTAACACAAAATTTATGAAAGTAAAAACAAATTAACTTGGCATTTTTTTTAAAATTTGAATTTGCATCATACATGTTCCATTTGCACTCTTATCAAACGCAGCAACCAATTTTGATTGGCCAGTTTGGGCCTGCTAATCAGATGGGCTGTGATGGCCTGTCATGGGTGTGAGGTAGGTCCAGCCTATCTTTGGTTTGGGTGTCCAAAATTCACTGCGGGCCCTGGTCCCACTTACTACTGTTGTATTTGGTCAGAAATCTTGTCTGAGCAGATGAGCAAGGAGCGGTGCTAGGGGAGCAATCCTATTAAGCACAAAATGATGAAATTGTAAAGCAGGCTGAAACTCTGGTGATTTTTTGGTTCCATTGCCCCTTGGAGCCACATCAATCACATTGTGAGAAAATGGCTAAAGTATACATTCGTCATATGCTGTTTGGTTAGCTGTATTTTCAAAAAAATTGTCAAAATGTCATTTTTTATGTCTTTTCTTTCCTCAAAGTGTTGTCTGGTATGGTGACTGATGTGATTCTTTATGTGGTGCCGTTTTCTCAAAAAAAAAAAAAAAAAAGAAAAAAGAAAAGAAAAAGACATTAATGGAACCAAACAGCACCATGCATAAAGTTTTCTCAAAATGGCAAAAAATGTAATGAAACCAGACACTGTTTTTGCACAAACTAGCTTAACGACTTTTCAACTTTTCACGGTCAAGCCTGCAGAGATGGTTGGGCTATGGGCTATGGCAGCATGACTGTGTTTGAAGATGCTAAGAGAGTTATCCTTTTGGTTGGTTTTGAACTCATCTAGGCTTATATTATTTGAATGTCAACTTTTTTTTTTGAATTATGGAATTTTCCTAATTTATCTTAGTGATAATTAATCTTGACTAGCTTCATGTGTTGGTATTATATACTATTAATTATTAAGTTTTACTACTTTTACACATTTTTTTTATTAATTTAATATATTGACACGGCAGAGTTCAGAAATTGCAGTGGGGTAAGCTTGGGGACCATATTTTTCCATTTTTTGTCCCTAATTTCTATATAACTCTCCATCTCCATTCCCGATCCTTGTTAGGGAGAAAAATGAACCTCCATCCTTGATGCTTCATTGGATACCCAAATCCCCGAATTCATTTACTTAAAAGTTTTAAAAGTTTGTTTTAACTAAAAAATATTTACTTAAAAAAAGAAAAATTTAATAATCTAAATTGATCTGACACTTAACTATCATCATTAATCATCAAGATAACATATAAATTGAAAATGCAGTGACATTATTATAATTATAGATAACTATATTTTCAAAATTTGTCCCAAGGGTTCCCCATCGAGGCAAAAACTTCACTTCCCATCCTTGTCCTTGTCCCCATTTGAGCATCCTAGTTGTTCTTCAAACTCTGATGTGGATCCTATGTGGCACTGATTTCTGGGAAATCATCATCGATCCCAAACATCACCTAAATTAATTTGATTGATTAAATTAGGTTAATTAATTTATCATGGTAGATCAATCAAGTTAAATTAATTACTTACTAATTTAGTTAATTGAATTATGTTAAATACTATGAATTAGGTCCACTTAATTTAGTAATTAATTTTGGATACATTACATTTATTAAGAAAATAGCTAATAGAAGAGAAGGGGGGGGGGGGCAATGGAGAAAGAGAGATGAGGGGATGGATGAGTGTATAGATTAAATTTATTTACTATTAAAAAGTTTTATTAAATTTAAATAACTATTTTAAATATAACTTAAAATTGGCTTTAGTACAATAAAAATAATTTTAAAACTAAGATTTTTTTATAAAGTTCATTGTTTTATTCATTAATTTATGTTTTCTTTTTAATTTCTGAAGAAAATCTAAATGGATTGGACTTACCATTTTTATTAGTTATAATAACAAAAAATTATTAGAAGTTTATATAATTATTTTCAGTTATAATAAAATTTTATAATCAATTATTAATTTTTATTACTTTTTAAATTATTTAACTTATTTTATTGTCTATTTTTTCTTATAATACATTACATATTTGTTAGTTATCTTATTTTAATATTTAAAGTTTTACTTATACATGTATTTGGAAGGTTGAGAGAGAAAATATTGGGGATGTGAGATAGTATTTAAAACTGCGTTTGAAAGAGGTGTAAATATCCTTTTACACCACTGAATTCTGCACTAGTTGGTTTATCAATGTTTAAATAGGAACCGATGATTATCGATGTAAAGTTTTACATTGTTTTTAATGAAGGTCAGTTCCCCTTCATTATCGATATAAAACTTGGTGTACATGGAGTTTTACATTGGTTTTTGGTGGTTATTTACACTTTGCCGAAATGGTTACAAAATTGGACCAGTGTAATATAACATTGGTTTAGTATTTACATCAAAACAAACACAACCTAAGGGTCCGTTTGGTTTGTAGGATTAGGGGTCTGGAATCGGAATTGTTTCGATGTAAAGTTTTACATTGTTTTTAATGAAGGTCAGTTCCCCTTGATTATCGATATAAAACTTGGTGTACGTGGAGTTTTACATTGATTTTTGGTGGTTATTTACACTTTGCCGAAATGGTTACAAAATCGGACCAGTGTAATATAACATTGGTTTAGTATTTACATCAAAACAAACACAACCTAAGGGTCCGTTTGGTTTGTAGGATTAGAGGTCTGGAATCGGAATTGGAATGGGCTATTCCGGTTCCAATTGTTTGGTTGGACGGAATTGGAATCCCATTCCCATTCCTGCTGGAATACCATTCTCCCATTTGAGGGAATGGCCATTCCTTGCCCCTTTCTCTTCCTGTCTGAACCAAATAGACTATGAGAATGGACCATTTCGATTACAATTCCAGAGGATTTTGATTCCGATTCTGACTCCGATTCCAATTACGAACCAAATGAACCCTAAGAGATGTTTTAGGAAAAAAAGTTTTACTTGGGGGAAATTTTAAGAAAAAGAGTTGTTTTAGGAGGGGTGATTCATTGAGATAACAACAACAACAACAACAACAACAACAACAACAACAATAATAAAAAAAATAACAATAATAATAATAATAACAATAATAATAATAACAATAATAATAATAATAATAATAAGAGAATTAAAAATAAGAAAAAAATCCAAAAAAGGAACAAATATAATGAGGATTTTGGAGCAAAAAAAAGGAAGATGTGGCTTATTTTGTTTTGGTATATAGTAACTAATGGGGACTCGTGCAATGCATGGGCTTTGTTAAGAGAAACCTAAATAATAGAAATACACAAGAATATGCAATTGTATATTTTAACTTTTCAAATAATTAATAATTATTTATATTTTATATACTACTTTTAATAATTTTTTTTACAATACAAAAATAACAATAATTAATTTTAGCTAAGGTTGTTCGTCAACTTGAGTTGGTTGGTTTTCTAGTATTTCCTATCGGCTTTGGTTCAATAGCTTCCCAACCCAACCAGGTTGGGTCAGTTTCAATTTAGTCATTTGTAAATTGACCAAAACTGAACTGAATCGATCATATATATATATATATATATATATATATATATATATATATTAATATTTTATATTTAAATAATTTTTTAATACGATAAACTGGGAAATTTCCCATATTTGTTAGTCTAAAATATTTTATAACATAAATTTAATTTTTAATTATTTTTTAATAATACACTATAATATTTTAAATTTAAATTTAATTTTTTAAGTTTAAATCTTTTAAACCAATCAACCAAACCAAAAATTGACCCAAATTGGTAAAACTCAAGTTGGCCAATTTTCATTAGTGCTTAGTCAATTTTGGGTGACCAACTCCCCAACCTGACCAAGCCGATTTGGTTGGCCAAATATCCCACAATTGAATTAAATAGACCCATGAACATTCTTAATTTTAGCTAAATTAATAGTCTAATCTCTAATAAATAATAATAGTTTAATCTCAGTTAAAGTTTAGAAAAGAGAAAGACAAAATTCTAAAAGAATAGGTCGAATTCCATTAACTTGATTTGAGTGTACAAGGAGTTATATACAAAATAATGACAAACTCCTAAGGAGAGAGATTCCTTTTTTAGTCTAGTTGGTCTCTCTATAGTAACTATTCTATCTTTAGCAGGAACTCTATCTATTGTAACGACTCCATCTTTGGTAAGAGTTCTCCTTATAGTAACCTCTCTATCTTTGGTAGATGGACTAGAGCTGGTTGATTCCTCAATACACCCCCTCAAGCGAAAATGGGTAGGAAGCACATGAAGTTTGGATTAAATCCACTCGAACTATTGAGAAGAGAGAGATTTAGTAAAAACATCGACAACTTGATCTTGAGTGGGAAGAAATCGAACCACCAAAGATTTCTTTAGAATAAGATCACGCTAAAAATGAAAATTGACCTCTATGTGCTTAGTACGAGCATGAAATATGGGATGAGCTACAAGATATGTAGCTCCAACATTATCACAATAGATCATAGGTGGTGATTGGGAAACAATACCCATATCAGAGCAAAGAGACTAAAGCCACATTAGCTTTGTAGTAGCGTTGGCCAAGGCCCGAAACAGGCAATAGTAGGTTGCTTCTTAGCACTCCAGGAGACTACGTGAGAGCCAAGAAAAATTCCATAACCCCCAGTAGAGCACCGATCATCAGAACATCCTGCCCAATCAACATCAGAGTAGGCGACCAAATACTCGGAGGACCGAATCGAGAAGTGCAGCTTGTAATCAACAGTGCCTTTGAAATACCTCAAAAGTCGTTTAACAACAGCGCAATGTTCCTCAGTAAGAGCATGTAAGAACCGGCATGCTTTATTAACACAAAAGCTGCGTCTGGATGTGTGAGAGTGACATACTGAAGTGCTCCCACAATATTGTGATATTGAGTGGGGTCAGATAATGGCTCTCCTTAAAATCTAGAGAGCTGAGAGGAGGCAACCATGGGATTGGAAACTGGTTTGGCAACAACAAGATTACTCTTCAACAAGAGGTCCAAAATATATTTGCACTGAGAGAGAAATAGCCCAGTGGCATCCTGGTGAGCTTCAATACCAAGAAAATAATGCAAAGACCCCAAATCTTTGAGAACAAATGATTGAGACAAGTCACTAATGAGAGGGTGAGGACCCCGGTTATAATAACATCATCAACATAAACCAAGACATAAAGGATAATCTAATCCTGAGTATAGATAAACAAGAGTGATCACACTATGAACTACAAGAGCCAAGACCATAAATTTGATTGCTCAAACAAGAGAACCAAGCCCAAGGAACCTGTTTGAGACCGTAGAGGGCCTTGTGAAGCTTGAAGACATGATGCGAATAGTTGTTATCCTCAAAACCTTTTAGCTGGCGCATATATATAGTCTTTGTAATAAATCCATTGAAAAAAGCATTATGGACATCCAATTGTCGAATATCCCAACCACGAGACACTGCCAGAGAAGAACATTACGAATAGTAGTGGGTTTTATCATAGGACTGAAAGTATTTGTGAAGTCAACTCTAGGAATTTGAGTAAAGCCTTGAGCAACAAGACAAGCTTTGTAATGACCAATCGAGGCATCTGGGTGACGCTTTATTTTGAAAACCCACTTAGAACCAACAACATTCATAGAGGAGTCATAAAGAACCAACTCCCAAGTAACAATCTAGACTAAGGCATTAAACTTGGCAGCCATGACTGAACGCCAATGAGGAAGCTTGGACGCTTGAACATAGGAAGACAGCTCAACTTCATGAGTAGCAACATCATGAAGCAATGCAGATGAAAGAGGGTCGCGAGTGGCAGTTAAGACACGAGTCATGAGTCGAATAGGGTGTCATTGACCTTGTTTCCATGGAATGAGTGCGCTTAGCGGGAAGACACACTACCGGAGTGGTGTCCAACAGTTATTGAAGAGCCCTAGTGTGTCGAATTGGTAAGGGGTCCACACTTATAGAAATTGCCTGTTCTGAGTCAAGAGAAGAAGAAGCATATTCCTCATTAGTAACCTCAGCATAAGGTAAAGAAGAGGGGGGTACCTCAGGAATGGTAGGATCCAAACAAGAGGTGGAGCCAATGGTGCCTAGAGAAGGAAGAACCACGCCAGTGGAGTCAGAGGAGCCAGTAGATGGCAATGACTGTAAGAGTGGGGAAGGAGTGCTCATCAAAAATAACATGTTGGGAAATAATTTCTCTTCCCGTGTGCTATCCAAATGATGTTTCTATTTCTATAGAACAGAAATCTGTTCCTAAGGAACAAATTGCCAAACACCTCTATTATTCTTGAAGAGCAAGAAACGAAATTCCTGTTCCTCCGGCTGCTACTTCTTTTTCTCGTCATCCTCTTCCTCCTGCTGCTGCTAGCTTGCTGATAAAGTCGCTAACTGGTAGTAGCAAAGAAATGGGATCGAATCCCACCTTCACCAGGGTTGGGGTGTCTTAGGGGTTTTGGGGATTTCTGCTTCCTTATAGCAGAGACCTTGGATCGAATGAAATTCCTCTAGGTTTCTAACCAACATGCCGAGGAACACCTTGCCCAAGATGTTGTGGTGCAATGTGGAGTGGGCTTAAGCCCATGAAGACATTTTAAAGGGTACTCAGGCTTAACTAAGATGTACCAAAATTTTGGGATGGTGGTCTTGACGTGAGGCTAAGCAAGTGTCCACATTATATATAAAGATTAGGGGCTATCCTAACCCAAGCCCCAGCACTTATGTTCAATTGATCAGACAGACCACTACTATGGGCTTTCTCTTAATCAATTCAGAGTTTCCCTAAGCTTGCTGTTCTTCTCCCTTCTTTCCTTCTAAAACAAGACTAATCCAAATTTACCGATCTTGGATCAGATTGGAGTGGATCCATATTCAATTCAATTATGAATGATCAAATTTGGGTGTCCCAATCAGGGATTCGAATTCGAATTCAAACATATGAACCTATCACCGAGTCATATTAATCTCCAATTTCTGGTATCTTCACCTTGCTAAAGCATATCTCTTCTTTTTTGCCACGTAGATGGATCAAAATGGTACAGAGGATTATGCAATAAAATATTTTCTGTTGGTACCGTAGTTGACAGTTCTGCTGCAATGACCTCTGGTCTGGGTTATACGAAAGATTCTAAGGGGCTGTTCGGTACCGTTGCTGTTTCATTTATAAACACCACTACATCAGTGCCACATGGATGTTTTGAGAGTCAATTTTGTGTTTGGTTGGAGACTGTTTAGAGTTAAAGCAGCCATAAAATAGGGGGTGTTTCAGAAAAATGCCAATTTAATGTTTTCTTCTCTCTAGAAAGTAAAATCTCAATACGAGTGGAAAACTCAATTTTCTCACCAAACAGGATCCAAGTACAAACAAAGGGTTTGTTTTTCAAGACTTTCAAGTATAAACAGTGTTTCAACTCAAAACATTGCAGGTTCAAGCAAGAAGGCACCAAACACAACCTAAGTTAATCAGCTCTAATTATTATTTCTCTATATTTTAATGGTAACTGACCTAACAATTTACGTTAGGTATATTAAAATGGGGCTGCGCCACCTAGCTAGTTGGTTAATTAATGGTCAAATGGGCCCATGGAGCATAAAGTTCAATTTCTCTCTCTCTTTCTAGATCACTCTCAACCCTATGATTTTCAAAGTTCAACCCAGAATTTTTAAGCATTTGGAGAGTGCTTGTTTCACAAAAAAATGGCATGATGCATGCCCAAATGATGCAATGATCATTAAGAAGAAACTTAGGTGCTTAGAATTATTCCATCTAAACTTTATACCATATACAGAGGAGTGGCCTGGCCACCCAATTTGCAAAGATCTATGTCAATAAATGTATTCATGATCTCTCTTTCTCTCTCTCTCAAGCAAATATATTTGACACATTCAATCATAGATCACAGCCATGACGTATGACCTTACAGTCCACAATTCATTTATTTACCAAGTCCAAAAGGCCATCTTTGGCTCAACTTTTCAAAGGGACCTCTCCTCTCTCTCTCTCTCTCTCTCTCTCAAGCATCTCCATGGTTTCCAAAGTTCAGCCGAGCATTGTTTAATTTAAGGATTAGGGAAGTGCTTATTAAAAAAAGGGATGATGGCCAAACCATCTTGCAAAAGAGATTATTAAAAGACTTGGGAGCTTAGAATGACTCCATCTAACCTTTGTGTAATTTAGAGGAAACAATAGGATAAGGAGTGGCCACACAATTTGGAATAATCTACATCAATAAATGTATTCATGATCTCTCTTTCTCTCTCTCTCAAGCAAATATATTTGACACATTCAATCATAGATCACAGCCATGACGTATGACCTTACAGTCCACAATTCATTTATTTACCAAGTCCAAAAGGCCATCTTTGGCTCAACTTTTCAAAGGGACCTCTCCTCTCTCTCTCTCTCTCTCTCAAGCATCTCCATGGTATCCAAAGTTCAACCGAGCATTGTTTAATTTAAGGATTAGGGAAGTGCTTATTAAAAAAAAGGATGATGGCCAAATCATCTTGCAAAAGAGATTATTAAAAGACTTAGGAGCTTAGAATGACTCCATCTAACCTTTGTGTAATTTAGAGGAAACAATAGGATAAGGAGTGGCCACACAATTTGGAATAATCTACATCAATAAATGTATTCATGATCTTTCTTAAAGCAAATGTGTTTGACACATTCAATAGCAGCCATGGCCTTTGGCCTCCTCCTATCATTTTATTAACAAAGTCCACAATCCATTTATTCACCAAAGTCCAAAATCTCTCTCTCTCTCTCTCTCTCTCTCTCTTTTAATGTTTATCCTTAGTTGAAATATCTTAGTTTTTGGGTATAAATAACTCCATTACAGACCCAACTTTTCAATCAAAAAGATCAATAGTATTGCTAGGATGGGATGGTGCAGGCTTGAACTGGCTCTGGTGCTTCTCATAAGCTTCGGCCTGTGGCATGTCTCCCAAGCCCAAAACTCCCCGCAGGACTACTTAAACGCCCACAACGCAGCCCGTGCGCAGGTGGGCGTCGGCCCCATGAGGTGGGACAACAACGTCGCAGCCTACGCCCGAAACTATGCCAACCAGAGAATCCGAGACTGCAACCTGGTGCACTCAGGCGGCGGACTCTACGGCGAGAACCTGGCCAAAGGCAGCGGTGCATTTACAGGTGTAGATGCTGTCAACTTGTGGGTTAAGGAGAAACCCTTCTACGATTACAATTCCAACTCCTGCATTGGAGGCCAGTGCCTGCACTACACTCAGGTGGTTTGGCGCGATTCTGTTCGTCTGGGATGTGCTAGAGTGAGATGCAACAATGGATGGTTCTTCGTCACCTGCAACTATGATCCCCCTGGCAACTTCATTGGGGAACGTCCTTATTCCTTTGTAGAGAGTTCTTGATGGGAGAGCTCTTCACTTGGCATAACTGCTTATAAGTTCATCTAAGGTCTCACATATATAAAATAAGTTGTGGATTTTGTATCTTGGATAGATCATCAGATAGTGATCAAGAGGATCATTATTAGTCCATACTGTGGTTAATAAGTGAAGACACCGGTGGCTGTGGTTAATCTTCAACCAGCCCATCTTGTGCAGTATGAATAAGAGTTCGGATTAATCACTCTTTCTTTAGGCTGCATTTGTTTCTCCATAGAATGGAAAATAATGTTTTTAAATGAAATATTTGGACTATTATGTTGATAGTTTCAGCCACTTTTGATGCAAAATGACAATGGATCAGTAAAAATATATAGCTCAAATATTCTTTTTTTTTTTAATAACAAGTTAAGTTTTATTGATGCAATTGAATAAAAAAGGGGGCAAGGTAGATAGGGATTAAAAAATTAAGAAGTATACCTTGAGTGATAACCCTTGTTTTTCAAAAAAATTTCTTTTTCTCTACTATTACCAACCTGCATTTGGGTCATTGTTTTCCTTTGAAATATCATTCTGAACCGACTCGCGCTTCCAAATTAACTCTGCACTTTAAGTTTCGTAAATAGCTAAAGAGGTTTTGTAGTCATTTGTTAATTCTAATCTCCATGTCATTCAGGCTCTATTGATTTACTATAGGGACAAAGAAATTCTACTTTCACCACTGCACTTAGATGATGTCTCATTATCTTGAACTTCACGTTCTTTCCCAAACTCTATATCAAAATTTTGTCAAACCCCATTCCCGCCATCCTTCTGGGTCCTATGTGGATTGAGATGTCTGGTTCAAAATTGTTTCTTTTTATTTAGTATAGCAAACCCTTTTAGGCAAAACATCAAACACCTTTGGCTCTAAAGCTTTTTCATTGATCCAAAGGCTCCTCTTCCACCATTATTTCTCTATTGGCACAGTCACCACACCTGTTGCATGGGTAGTATCTTGCCCCCATTTTTACATTGAAAAGGTAGCCTTCTTGTCAAATTTGCAATTGTCTATGGCTTGGGTCTAGATCCTAGCTTGAATATATAGAACATCTCTGGGTAGGGGTGCAACTTGGCCCGGTTCAGGTTGAAAATTTGAATGGGCTTGGGCCCAATTCGATGTAAAAATTGGGCACGCAATTTGCACTCCTACCTCTAACCAATGATCTTTGTTAGTCAGATTTTTTATTTGTCAGGTCTGACCTAATGAGACTCAATTATAATTAGCAGGCCTTAAGCCTGTAAGTGTGTTTGGCTTGATAGAAACAAGAGACAAACAGGAAGTTGAGGGAAAGTTATTAAAGGAATTTTGTAAAGTTTTTTATTTCTCTCTTATTTTATATGAAGCCAAACAAAGACTTAAGCTTCTAATTCTCTTGTTCTTTCTTCTCAAAATATCTTATATACCCCTATAAAATGACAATTTTAGACGTTTTATATTAAATTATTTCAAATAAACTATGAGAAAGATATATAGAATGTTGGGGACTTTTTTATAGGAATATATTTTGAGAAGAGAGAACAAGAGAATTAGAAGCTTGAGGCTTTGTTTGGCTTCATATAAAATAAGAGAGAAACATAAACATATTTATATATCCCTATAAAATGACAATTTTAGACGTTATATATTAAATTATTTCTCACAAACTATGAGAAAGATATACAAAATGTTGGGGCTTTTCTTTTATAGGAATATATAAATATATATTAGCTGAAATCTACATATTGTTCGAGCCATTAAGGAGGTCTTTGCCACCATGAAACAAAAGAAGTTTTAGCACATTGAGGTGTTACCAAAAAACAAGAAGCTCTTTTCCTTCTTAATTTTTTTTTTCTCTTCATTCTGTTTTCTGTTTCCTCTGTTGCTAATTGCAATCATGGAGTGCTTGGGCCTTAACAGATTGGATTGCACATTGTGAAATCAGATCCATGGGCTTATTCTAACCCTTCACTTGAGTGGAGTCTTTTGGGTATTTAGGAGGACTATTAAACAGAATGGCAGCTATTCTTAATTTGCTTGCTAGCTTATGGGATTCTGTAGATTATGTCAAGTGTTGGTGGTTCTAACTTTTGAAATTCTACAAATACTATAGGGTCTATTTGGTTTGCAGTCGAAACCGGAATCAGAATTGTCTATTCACCCACCTGTTTGGAATTAAAATTGGCTGAAATGGATTTTCATTCCCATGAGAGGGGGAGGGAATGCCCATTCCTTCAAATGGGGAAATGCCATTCCACCAGAAATGGAAATCCATCAAAATAGATCCTTAGTTGCTTTTATGTTCTGGTCGAAAGAACACATCAACCAGTTGTTGACTGCGATTATTCTGCTTAGTTTAATTCATACAATAATTTGTAAGCATAATGAATCCATAATTCAGTTATTTGATAACTGGTCTCATTGTTATACAACAATAACAAATTGCTATTTGTTTCAGAGTATTAAAAAAATCTTTTGTTATCTTTTCAAAGTTTATGTTGTAAAAACTATGAAAACTTTTACTGTTCCAAAGTGTTCAGTTAGTAATCCATATATTGAAGAGTCTTTTCACAGGAAAAAAAAAGAAAAAAAAAAACTAATTCAACTAAATAAATTAATTAACTATAGGATTGATTAAAAGGGAGCTGGTCTGGTTTCCATGGGGCTTCGAAATGGACATCTGGATGCAGATATTGTGGCTTCTTGAAAACCCACATGAGCTTACAAGGTAAGATACTTTGAAAAAGTGTCTATTTGTTTGAGACTTGAGATTGACATGAATTTCAGAAATGGGTCCGGGAGAAAATCCAGATGGGTTGTTAACTATTCAGCCATTCTACCTTGGCCTAGTTTTCTAATGGAGTAAAGAAGAAACATGCTTGAAGCGGAGACTGAAAGGTAGAAGCCCAAGTCCCAACAGAAGATCTATAGTCGAACTGTAACTGGGATCTTAGGCTTGACTCCATAACAGGAGTCCGAATTAATGGCGGCCCAGGATTGGTGTTAAACTTGGGAACTTAGTGATTGGTAGCTTGGGTTATGAGAAATGGGCTTTAGCAGATCCAGTCCAGATTAACTCATTTTCAATACAATTGTCTTAAGGGATGGCAATTTCTATCCTACCCAGTGGGTATCTGCCCTGGCAGGGTAGTTTTTTTTGGCTTCAAAGATGGATTTTGGGATGAGGACAGGTTTTGGGATTCTACAACCCCTACGGTTATGGGTAGGGTACGGTATTAGGCTAAAATGACCCTCCCCGATTCGTAGATTGTTGGAAAGCATATGAAGTTTTATGTTTTTTTTTTGAGAATATAAACTTTTATGTATTAGGTGTTGAATTTAATAATATTTTGAATTTATGTAAAAAATACTTATATTATTTTATTTATTTATTGCTTGTATATAACAAGAAATAATAGAAAATTAGATGTGAGTTCTAAACCCAATTTGCCCTACCCACGATAGAGTTAGAGAGAGTTTTGTATTTTCATGTACAAAAAGAGTTTAGATTCTCAAAATCCAATCCACTTTAAGTTTCAAGACAAATACAGATTGGGAGGTTTAATTTAGGGAGGAGGGTAGGATTTAAAGTTTTTAAAACCCTCTCCAAATCCACCCGTTCCCATCCTTGCCCCTCTAATCGTGTAAATCTTTTCAATGTTAAGGTGAGTTGAGTTATATGATCAAAAAAAATTTTATCAATTCAATAATAATAATATATTATTATTATTATTATTTACTGCTTGGGTTTCTCCACATGGATGGTCCTCTTTATCATCATGAAGGGATTCTGTGACCTGTCTCAGACTGGAGATAGCTTCAGTCGACCATATATTCATTCTCACAATCCATGATTTCTCTGTACTGCAATGAGCATTTGACTTCTCTATAACATGGACTCAAATTTCAAGATTCGAATGTTTTTTTCTGAGTACTGCTTTATTTTGCCATGTGGCAAATTGTTATAAGCTCAATAACTATGCAAATCAGAATTTGTCTAGCCATTGATCAGCCAAATTCCTCTCTCTCTCTAAAATGTTTCCTGCAATACCACCACTAAGGAAGTGTACTGAAATATCTACTCTTTTCAAACTTATACTGATTGTCCCTGGAGAAGTTTCCTCTGAACTTCCACTGAAACATGACTCCTGAGGTTGGAAAATACTTGCAGAGTGCCCACCACCAAGCACCAAGCACCAACCCGCCCACTCACTCACCAGTCACCAAGCCAAGACAAATTAGAAAATTCACTTGGCGGAATCCTTTGATACTCAAAAGTGATAGACAGATAGAGTGCTCGCTTGCTTGCCTTACGTACATAGAGTTGGTCCATGGACCGAGTCTGCCGACTTGACAATATCAAGTGGGTTTGGCACTCGTCGCTTTACCACCACCACCACCACCGGCGGCACCACCGGCACCACCACCGGCGGCACCACCTCTACACATGGCCAACCCAAGTACCATACATAGACATGAACAACAGCATATTGCATATATATATTCTCTGACATGAAAGAATCTCACCAGATAAAGCTATCCCATGTCCTTCCCATCCATCAAAAGTAATTGCTTTTCAGGCTTTTGGTCTCTACTTTTATCCTTTCTACTTCTCTACCGTCCAATACCAAGTTGGTGGAGGCCAATAATCTGATGTAACGCGTTGTCAATGGATGCTAAAATTAACCTTTTTCATTGTTTTCTTCATTGCTCCCATGTCTTTGGTTCTTCCAAAAATACAGTCCAAACCTTAGCCATCTGATCATGGACCCCACAAGATTGATCTCCTCCATTGTAGTGGTTAATTGTAGCACTCGTCATGACCAATTGGATTGCCAATAACGTCTATAGGATTGATATTTTGTGCCTATGGTTGGTGGTGGTGGTGGTGAATTGGTGATAAAGCTAAAGCACTTTCTTTGGATGGTCTCGATTATCCCATTTTGTGGGCCATTGCTTCATCAAGTGGCAATCAACCAATACCCATCACATAGGTGACATTTGTACTTCTTTTAGTGATGGTTTTCATTTTATGATCAAAAGTTAATTGGCATCTTTCCAAATATTGAAAAGATATATGATGTTGGAAAGGCTTTTTTATGATACTAGTTGATTGGTTATAAGTTTTTCCAATATCATGTTTTTCTAGCATTATAGTTGAACCCGATTGAAAACAAGCATACATTAAAACTTAAAAGCAGCCCAAACATTTGGACCATCGATCAATTGGTCCAACTGTCCAACCCAATTTGGCTTGAATTAGGCGTACCCTTACATAAAAATCAAGCTAATCTAACACCAATCCACTGCACCAAGCAGCAAAAGACATAACTTGTTGAATATGAAAATATATTTTATGAACTAAAGTAAAACTTAATTGATTGAGATCTGAATTTTATGCTTATTTAATATTAATGAATGCATCATAGTTAAACTCTTAACGTGATATATATATAAATTATGTAAGAAGTTCAATTATGATGCACATCTCAAATATTCGTTGCACGTTAAATTAAAATTTCAACCAATCATATTAAAGATATCACCTTATCTACTTATTTTTCACTAATTCAGGTTTTACAAGGTATATTTTTCATCTACATATGTAATATGTACGATTATATATGTTTGCATGGGTATGGTATTGTGTAAATTTGGTGAATATGGGTTTAACCAAAATCCAACCCATGGTCGTGATCATGTCAGGTTAGGATTAAGGAGTTTGAGTTGAAAATCAATTTAATTGGATTAGAGTAATGGTACTAAATTTATTTGGTATCACATAATACATTACAAAGAACTAGAGTTGGGACAGAGAAGGGTGCATATGAGGTCCAATAACCTTACCAACCTTACCATGGAGTGTCAGCATTTGGATCCTATGCTTCCACTTTTCCACTTTTGGAAGGACACCAATAACCATCTCAACGAGTAGTCATTTACATATATTAATCCTAAAGCTAGTTAATTTTAATTGGTTATTCTAAGTCTAATTTGAAGTGAAGACATTTCTTAATATCAAAAAGAAGCGAAGAATATAGGTCAACCTAAACACAACCCTATCCCATCCCAACCCAATGTCATCGGATTGGGTCAGGTCAGTTTGCATCTTAGGGGGTGTTTGTTTTCACTTGTTTTCAAAATTATGTCAATAGAGAGAAAACACATGTTCTCTAACTTTTTTTTTTTTTTTGAGAAATGGAAATAAGGTGGTTCGTTTCCAAAAACAAATCATGTTTTTAAGTCATCAAAATTATGTTTTCTAAAATAAACGGAAAATTTTCATTACTCAAACCAAGGTTTTTAAAATCGATTTGGATAACGAACTAGTTAGGGGTCCGGTTTTCGGTTGAATGGTCAACCCATTTTGACAAAAAAATTAAAAAATAGTAAAAAATGGTTCAACCACCCGAGTCAGCAGTTTGTTGATCAAATCATCATTTTTTGGCAAAAATCCAGTTTTGGTGAAAAACAGAACAGGTCACCTGACCAGTTCCCGGTTTTTCTGATCCGACCGTCCGGCCCGGTCCGATTTTGAAAACCATGACTCAAACTTTTGAAAACAGAAAGCACATATGTTGCACAAAGCCCAAAAACACAGATTAGAGTGACATACAAAAATGGAGTAAAGGAGAGATAAAAAGAAGAAAGAATATAGAATTCAAGGCACAAACATAACATACAAAATCAAGAACATATTTTATGTATTATTATTATTATTTTTTGTTTGGAGAAACCATCTCTTTTTAAACCAAAATGGGTTTGATTTGTTTTTAGAACTGATCAAGTGAAACAAGAAATCATTTGAAGGTCTAGGGAATTTAAATCATTCCAAATCATTTAAGGGTTTATACATTGCTTCACTGGTTCAACGGGATGAACCATTCCAATTCCATAATCCACACAATTAGAAAGAAAAATAATTGAACAAGATTTGGAAGTAGAACACAACAAGATTGCAAAGCAATCCCAGCCTTGTTTCATTTTTTTTTTCTTTGGATAAAGTAAAGAGTCGAGAGGAGACTAATACATTTGAATGGCACATAATTACATGGTCCCGCCCCCTTCTAAGAGTTTAAACAAAAACAGTGAAAGCAGCAGCGACAACAGCAACAGAAAAAACGAGCAACCAACAACACCATTACTTAAGACTGTTATAGACATGGACAGGAATTGAAATCCTCTAATTCTTGCCTTAGAACCGTCAATTAATGGGGATCTTATGAAGATGAAGATGGTGATGGTGATCTAGTTTATTAGTAGCTGGTCTTGAAGGGCTTGTACACCTTGAGGTCGAGGGCAACGCCAGCGATGGAACCGGCAGCGGCGGCAATTGAGACGACGAGGCAAGCGAAACTGAGGATTTGGAGGCAGAGCCACCGGGTGCTCCACTTGGGTATCTTCTTCTGTGCAATGTACATCTCCACAGGGAAGTAGACTGTGAGCGGCCAGAAGCCGAAGGCTCCTAAAATCCCAACAACGTCGTTGAAGAATGGGAGAAGCATGGAGATGACAGTGGTTGCCACAACGAATACGGATCTCCAGACCAGGCGGAAGAGGTTGAGCTTGTAGGGGCGGAATCCTGGAATCGGGACCTTGATTTCCTTGGTGATGAACTTGCTCTCCGACCATCTCTCTGATGCTGATTTCTCAATGAAGGCGAAGAGGGGCTGGCAGTAGACTTGGTAGGCACCGACCAGGTGGATCACTATGGCAGCATTGGCGATGTCCAGGAGCCAGAATGGGTTGTAGAAGCCAAAGCCAGTGAGGAGGTTGCCGGGCGCCAGGTCTCCGAAGGCAGCGTAGCCCATGCAGCCACAGAGCATGTAGAAGAGTGTGGTCACGGCAACGCTGAGCAGAGTTGCCTTCTTCATTGTCTTGGCCTCAGATGGTGGAGATTTGATTGTGTCCTGTTTTTAGGAGCAGAATCAGTCAGTTCATCAATCGAAGTGGTCTCATCGAAAATCTTGATGGGTGCAGGGTTGGTGGGATTGAATGTAATTAATACCTGAATTTCAATAAGGATGATTGAGTATGAGTAGGCAAAAGCTATGTCTCCCAGAGCTTGGAAGCTTCGCCATATCTTCTGGGTCTCAGTGACTGCGCCAATGCTTATTCCGGTGAGGCTGCCCTTGAAGCTCCCAGTCTCTGAAAATCAAAACCCAGGTGGTCAGCTTTCGAGAAACTGCTCATTTCTTTGTTATTATAAGATCATCAGAACACAAGGAAGCAATTCACACCTGCAACTTTGGCGATTCCAAGTCCAAGACCAATGGAGGAGTAAGTAAAGGACATGACAGCAGCGACAATCGACAACCACCATATCTGATCGAAGTCTGGAATTTGAGAGAAGAGAATTTCGGTGACTCCAAAAATGATCATGTAAGGGTTGCTTGATATGTGGCATGGGTTATCTCCTCCACTTTCATGAAAGCAGTTAGACCTCTTGATTGCCCTGTTAATCAAAACCCAGAAGACCCATTAATCCAAATATCATTAAACAGCATTAAAGCAGAGAATTAAAGACTGATAAGTACTGTTTCAGTCCAAATTCGACTCACATCATGCTTATAGATGCTGCAATAGTGTAGCCGATGGCGACTCCAAAAAGGTTCAAGTACTGGATTATCCCACAAATCTTTACCTTGACTCCACCTAAGAAAGATTTGAAAAGAGAGAATTAGCCTTAAGAGCTTTTTAAAAGAACCCATTTGTTAATTAGTTGGTGAGCTGAACTGAGAAACTGGAGGAACCCAGCTGCTTACCAAGGTTGGACCGAACAGCATCCGTGTAGGTGTAGTTTCTCTTGCCGGAGACCGGGTCGCCTGATCTGTAACAGTCGGTCAGGAGGGAGGAGGTGTAGTAAATTACAAAGGAGAATAGGAACATCACAGCTGGACCAGCAATCCATCCCAGCTGAGCAATAGCCCATGCCAAGGAGAGCACACCAGATCCAATCACTGCAGTTATTATGTGGGCACTCGCGGTCCAAACGGTCCCTGAATTAGCACAAAAAAGACAGGAAGACTGAGTGAAATGATTAAACAGAGACAGAACTCTAACAAAAGCAAACGAGCTTATAAGGAATCTGAAGTCTTTTTTTTTTTCTGAAAGTACCAGTTCTTTTGAGACGTCCATCATCATCGAAGCATTTAGAGCCACCCTGTGGAAGCATATCTATCGAGAGGTGCTGGTTGTTGTTCCTGGTGACAGCGTCCTCACCCATCTTTGAAAGAGAATTAAAACAGATAACAGTGGAGTTCTTGTGAGAATAACAACAAAGAAGCTCTGCTAGCTTATTATTTAGCAATTCAAATATCAAGAGAGTATGAAACAGATGGAAAGTGAGACAGAGAGAGAGAGAGAAAGAGAGAGAGAGAGAGATGGAGATAGGTTGTGAGCCTTGTGAATTGTGAGGTTTCTATATTAAAAGCTAAAGAAACCAACTTTTTCAGTAGCTCTACGCCTTATGTCACTGAAAACTAACACACCACCCTAGAGTCACAAAATCCCAAACAAAGCAGAAACCTCGGCCAGTTCGGTATGCCCAACTTACTTCCACCACCTACCCACCCCCAGATGATACCCAAAGAGAGAGGGTAGTGTGGTCAGGAAGAGAGAGGGAGAGAAAAGAAAGCTCAGACACCAGAAATCAAGGTGGTAGGAAGCGAAGTTGTTGGGGTGAAGGAGTGAGAAGGAGAAAGCTCCAACCCTACGAGTTATGACTGATCTGAATCTTGTTGGTGATGAGACTGTCAACCAGAGAAAGCTTGGCACCAAGCGAGAGAAGAGGAGTACTGAATTTAATGGGTAACCTTGGAGAGAGGTATGGGGTATATATAATACTTCTCTGTGAACAGAAAAGCTACACAGAGCAGACACGAAAGAAAAACACGTGGTTCAAATTTCAATAGGACCCCAAGATGAAGGAGTAGTAGTCAACGACCGACGCCATTGATTTTCAAGCACACCATCAAAGAAACTCACAACTGATGAGTCAATGGTCTCACAGTCTCAGTGCCTCTCTCTCTCTCTCTCTCTCTCTCTACACTTTAGGAAACCAATTAAACAACACGTAAGTGCAACTGTGCAAGCGCAATAACAAACAGATGAACCGAACAAAGATTGTTAATTTACAGCTAAAAACTAAACGAAGCTTCTCAGTGTCTTACCGTCATATCCACCAACTTCTCTTATTCGAAGAACAAAAAAGGAAGTAGATGAAGAAGAAGAAAAAAAACTATAAACACTACTATACAGAGCGATGGGTTTGAGTGACTCGTCGCTGCGTCTCCGAACCGATCATCTCAAGCTTTATATAGAGGTTCAGGGGAGTACAAATGCAACTAAAGAATAAAGATCTCTGTAAGACCAGAGTTTACACTTTTCTGACCATCTTTTCACGTGTATCAACTTCCTTCCCTCCATTGTTACTCTGAGAGAGAGAGAGAGAGAGAGAATAAGGTTCCCTGTCCGTACTGTAATTTTAGTATCTTATTTCTTTGGTTTGTATGTCTCCAAATTAAAAAATTAGACCACGCTGAGACCATTTGATCTTTTTTAATTAAACCCATCGAATCATTACTAAGTATGGATGGACACAGAGGATCTAATTCTCATCTCTTTCTTCCCCAACACTAGGAATGCAGGATGATCATTTGAGCAAAAAAAATTTGAGCTGTTTGTGCTTATTCCCAGTATCTTTGAACGTTGAATCATCTTAGTTATTGGGTTATTATTTTACTGTAAAGATCTATTCAATATGCAGTTTGTATACATTGTTTGGTGTTTGATGGGGCCCGATTGATTATGTCCATTGAAATGGAATCTACACGTGGATGAACATGCAGCGCAGACTGGTATTTCATGCCTTTAATTTGTTTAGGGCTTATAAATAGGTGGCATGATTAAAGGCACATTAGCTGGTTAGTGGTGTTAAATGTATATATATATATATATATATATATATAACAATTCAAAGAGCTAGAGAGGCCCAAAAGTGAGCTTCAAAAATGTAGCTTTTAGTGTCCTAGGATTTAATATTTCTACAGATTTTTTTTTAATCCAAAATTGAACCCCTTTTCATGAGAGAGCTCCTATAAGTTTGTAAGATGCTTTCATGTAATCTTGATCATTATGTGAAGGAAAATTGTCTTAGGGTTTCATTAAGTAGGAATTAGAAATTCTCCCTGTGACCCCCTTGCTTTGGTTCACTTAACTCAAATGATGAGTTGACTCAGCTGAACTAGGTAATTACAAATTTACAACCAAGTAATTTAAGGGATTTGTTGAATAAAAATCAGTCAGGAAATGTACATATCAATGCATAGTATTGAATAAAAATTTCTAACAGAAAAATAGTAATTGATATGAACATCCACCCTCCCCCCAATAATGATAATAGCATCACCATAAAACAAAAAGATAATTTTCCCTAAAAATATATTCTTATTCAATTGTTTTAGTATTTAATAAGTCAATAAGCCCTAATTTTTTTTGAAGAACCAACTTGTTTGCACTGTTAAAAATTGATGACTTCCTCACTAAAATATTATTATTTTAAGATGTTTCACTACAGAGACTAACCAGTGGATACATTTTCATTAATCTCTTCTCCAAAATCAGGAGATTTCTAACCATCAATTTGTACTTTTTTTTTGGCCCTTTGAGCTCTGAAATTATAATCAAAAACACAGTTGCGGTCAATTATTTTAGGGGTTTTTTATTTCAAACCATTATTTTAGACATGATGGGTGGGCCCTGATGCTGTAGAAATGACTTGGGTGGAGAATTTATGTGGACCCAGATGATCTAGCGGTTGTCCTGTCCTAAGGCTCATACCCAAGATATATACTTTACTCAATCTATTTTATACGTATTCTACATATAAATTATTTATTTAATATGTAACGCCAAAATTAGGAACCCTTTGTTGAAAAAATAAAACAAAAAAACTATGGATTAATCTAATTTCATATTCAGTTACAGAGCCTTCACGGCAAATCAAAGTAAGACATGAACAAAACCATCAATTTCAGTCTGGTTCAGAGAGTAGTCAGCAGCATCTATGTCTTAATTTTTAAGACTTGTATTAAGCATATACTAGTAATTAATTATATTATATGCTTTAAAAGTATATTTTATGTTGGACTTTATGGCTAATGAATTCGAACTTAAACTACAAAAACATTGGATCAGAATATTGATATGATGCTTGAACATTTGCATTTTATAACCCTTGGATCATGGTTTTGAAAACAGGATTAGATTGGACGGTCAAACCAGCTGACTCAGGAACTGGTCAGGTAACTGGTTCTGCTTCACCCTAAAATCATTTTTTGACAAAAAACTGTTAATTTGGTTAGACTTGTTGACCCGAGTGGTTGAACTGTCAATCTGTTAATCCGGATAACAGTTTTTGACCATTTTTATTTTATTTATTTTTTATTTTTAAAAGTTAAAATGGGTCATTCATTCGAACTGGATGATCAGACCATTCAACCCAAAAACTGGTCCCAAAACAGTTCCGTGTCCCGTCTGGTTTTTGAAGCCTTGCATTAATTGGATTGATATAAAGTTATAAACAGTGGAATAATTCTAATACACACTGGGGTTTGGCTCTTGTCTCTTGAGGGGGAATCCAATCACATACTAAAAAGGCAGCATCTACATGAATGGAACCCTAATTGAGTTTCAGAGTTCAAATACCATTTAAAGAAACAGGGTCACAAGAGAGCAATGGTCCTGAAGAAAGCTTCACTTACATGGAACTAATGGGTCTGGATAATGAGATTCCTCATGGAATCAGTTCTTGTACACGTGTACGTTAATTATCTTTTTTTGGGTATTTTTAGAAATTTTTTATTATATTAATGTCACCTTAATGGCTTTAACAAGATTTGGACTCATCGAAGCTTTATCCATTAATGCACATCCTATTCATCTCTTTTCATCCTGATGAATGAAGGGAACCTATTTATCTTCCATTAAGCACATTCCTATCAACTGGACAGCTTAATTCTCAGGCCACTTGGCTGATTCTAGCGGTGGCCGTTCTCAACACTCAACCAACCTAGTATCCTCCCGCCACGTGTTATACAAGTTTGGATCTATCTGCTTATTTTGAACTGAATTCTGGGTAATATTATTTAAAAATTGTTATTGCTGATGTGGCAATCATTTTTGTTTTGAGAGCACCTCTTAAAAGGGGTCGGAATTGGCTGGATCGGGCAAAAATCATACACAACGGGCTGGGCATGTCAGTCTTTCATACACGTAAGATGTAGATCCCATGTTGCCTCCAAGTGTACATAACACTGGTTTATTCACTCATTATAGGTTGTCCAGCCTCTTGTGCATGATTTTGTGTTCAGCCCCCTGACTACCCGCTATATTTGGTTTGAAGGAAAAAATAGGGAAAGTAGATGACTCATGATTTCATAAAGATTTTTCTACTTTCTTCTTTCTTTCCCTACTTTTTCCTTCAAACCAAACACAGCCTTAAAGTAGAGGTGCAAGTCAGATACTCAATTTGAAGAATTGGCACAACATTCCGCTGAAGCCCTCGGGCCAGATCCATTCAAATTTTAACAAATGATCAATCCAAGCCTGCTTAAGTTGCACCCCTAATGTTGTTCTCGATCTGAATATTCGAGTGGGAGGGCAGACCGGACACGGACTTAACCTTCGGAGTTCGAGTATTTCATACAGAATGGCGGTTATCAGACTTGAACCCATGTTCTCATGCTTATCAAGTATCAACTGAAGATTTTTTTAATTTATTTTTACGTACATGCCCATGTTTCTCTAGATTGTTAGGTTTGCAACTCTGGTAGCTTTTTTGGGTTTTCTCCAATTGGAGTCACAGACTTGGTCGGACCTAACCCACCTCTGCGTCATTTGGGATATTTTTAGATACATGTATTATAGCATTAGCAATTCAATGTCTATCAGGTTAGCATGTGAGAGGTAGGTTTTATCAAAGAATGAGATCAGAATGGACCCGACAACCATGAAAAAGAAGTTCTTCTAGGTACAGCTGAAATGTTTGAATGTGTGACTATTAGTAGCCTTTGAAGCAGAGAGGTTACCCTTCTCTCTTTCTCGCTCTTATTCCTTCACAACTAACAACCCTATAATACAAAGAGAAAAAAGTGTATAAAATAATAGCCCTAAATAACCATGTGAGATGACTATCTGCCCTTTTCCTTTTGGCCTTTGAGGAATTTTGATGCTAACTTTCTCCTTGGAGGCCTGATTCGGCCCGTCAGTGAAAGTGTAAAAAAAGAAAAGGAAATATCTGAAATGGGATACTAAGTCTTAATTGCCTCTTAGAGACATATACATCCATCTCTAATTCACTAGGTTTCTATGAAACTATCCTTTATTCTTGTTTTTTTTTTTTTTTTTTTTTTGGGGGGGGGGTGGTAGTCCATACAAGTGGGGCGAATCCTGACCGTGGATCGATACCAAATTCACGGACAGGATGTGGTTTATAGGGGGGGGGGGTACTAATAGAATAGGAGGGGGCTCTAATTTCAGATTTCTGAGGTAGAGTGCAGTCTATTTATCCTTTTTTTTTAAATAGATATGATATAACTACTTTTAGACTTGATAATCCTTCAACATAATTGTACCTAACTGCACTAGTTCTATTACATTAATATTCCACTGCATTTAAAAACAATCAATCCACATGGGTCATCGGGCGAAGTCGTTAATAATACACATGGTTTGACTAACTAGCTCATTGGCCCAGACAACAAGTATCAAAATCTTTAGAATTAATGCAAAAAATCATACCAACACTAATGCACCGAGTTGCATTACAAAACTCACAGTTAAGTATACTTGGACAAAAATAATTGAGGAATTCTTCTTGAATTATTTCCATCCATCAATATTGTTCAGCAAGTAATGTTGCATACACAAATTTGCTTGTATTGTTTGCACACGGATGTCAGACAAATTGTTCTTGATAGGGATGGTTGTCTCCTTGACTTTTCTCATCCCCATAAGGCATCCAACATATCTGAAGCCAAATTCCCTTGGATAACCCCAGCTTGGCATCAACTAAACCCAAATTCCCTCAGATAAGTGTTCAAAAATTGATTGGTTGAAGCATTTATTTCCTCTCACTGTTAACATCAATTGGGAATCAAATGCCCTAACAATGACATGAAACATTGTTCACTGCCCTATGATCTTTGATTGAACTTTTGTTCTATGAATGGGGACTGTTGCTTGATTCCGATGGTTTTGAAATTTGGGAATGCAAAGCAGTTATTGAGTGAAGGTCCTTCTTAC